ATATATTTAAATAATTATTAAAAATATTAAATAATAATTTTTTATTATATTTTTTATATATTTTTTTTATTTTTGAATAGGAAATTTAAAATTTATATATTTTTTTATTATATGAATTATTTAAGTTATAATTTTAGAAAAAAATTGATAAATTTAATATATAAAATATTAAAAGTAAAATTAAAAATAAGTTATTAGTAACAAAATAAAAATTATAGAACATGATATTAAAGAAAAATAATAAAGGTAGAAAGATTTTTATAGAGTGAAAATAATAGAGGTTTATGAAGAAGAAAACCCTCTACAAATTTTTCCTGAAATTCAAGAACATCCACACCAACAAAATCTAAAACGTAATAGACGTCGTCCTCTGTGGAACTGGACACCACTTTTGAGATTAAAATTTTCTTAACATTATTATCAATAATTTTATTTTTATTATCAATTATTATGTTATTTTTAATATTATACATTAAATTCTGTCATTTTTTATTATTTTTTATTTTTAAGTTTATTTTATATTAATAATAATAATTTTTAACTAATTAAATAATATTTTTACTTTATTATTTAAAAAAATTAATTATAGCATGAATTTTTTAATATAATATTTATAATTTATCAAATAAAAACTATTACATAAATTTTTATAATATAATATTTAATTTTTTAATATATTACCTAAATTAAATTTTTATTTATTCTATTTTTTTCTAAAATTATAACTTAAATAATTCATATAATAAAAAAATATATAAATTTTAAATTTCCTATTCAAAAATAAAAAAATATTATAAAAAAATATTATTTAATATTTTTAATAATTATTAAATATATTTAAATAATTTAATATATATTTAAATAATATATTATTTTTATTATTTTTTATATAAATATTATTTAAATATTAAAATTAAAATTTTATTTTTAATATTATTTTTATTATTTTTAATTATATATTTTATTTAATTTTTTTATTTATAAAAAAAGTGATAAGTTTATAATTGGAATTCAGTTTACGGAAACCTAATTTCAAATACAACGGTAAAAGATGTTCAGTTAAATAAATAATTTTATAAGAGATTCAGTTAATTAAATAATTTTATAAAAATTTCTGTTAGGTATATATATAATATAATAATATTATTTTAGTAAAAAAGTATGATATCATAAAATTAATCATAAAATTTATAACTATAAATTTAAAATTTATCACAATGATTATATATATATATATATATATATATATATATATATATATATATTGATATGGTTTAGTATAAAATATATGGTGAAAATATTTTTTTAGTTCAACATTTCAACTTCAAAAATATATGATTAATATTTAAGTATATATGTATAATGTTTGAATGTGTATATTTTAACCAAAAATGTTTTCTTTTGCAACTACCACCCGTCATTAATTAGTTTGGACTAGATAGAAGAATTAGTGATCAAATTCAATATCGTAATTAAAAAATTTGGTAAGTATTGACTATTGAGTTGGACTAAACCCTTGGTTGATGAAAACTCATTTGACTTATTTTAGCATCACATGACAAATTTCATAGCAAAATAATTTTTTAAGATACTTCAGTTGTAATGTTATTATATTACACGGTAATAAATAAATAATATATATATATATATATATATATATATATATATATATATATATATATATATATATATACATATGCTTCACCTTATAATGCCTTCAATCTTATACTGGTGTCGTGGCTTTGAATTCTTAACTTAAATAATGTCTAAAAATAAATGTTACCAACAGTATAAAAAGAAAAAACTATCGACTGCTTAATTTAGTCTCTAATCTAATCCAACTCCACCAAAAACTAACATTATTTCCGACAATATTTGTAAAACCATTTGAAGTTAATAAGGAGCAATAATTTACTATATTAGATGCAATCAATGTTTTTTTTTTCTTTTTTTTTTTCTAAATAATGTTAAAGGGATAATTTTCCTTGTATGGTTGCATCTTTTACTTTATTTATTTATGATTTTCAAAACTAAAACTTCACTTAAAAATTTGAGTTCAATATTACTCATATTATTAATGAAATACAAAAGGTAATAGAATAAAAGATATATATAGTAGTGAAAGATTCAATTGGCATCAACTTCATCTATTTTTCCTTTGCTTGAATTCTAAGCAAGAATTTTTTTGTTGATAATAAAAAATGCAGATAATATATGTGAACAGAATTGAGTATAACTAAGGTTAGGTTTAAATCCCCGAATATATACAATTTTTTTTTTTAAGTTGAAGTTTGAATCATGAATGAGAGGGGTACGTATTCTTTATTTATATATTTCGCATTAAGAAGATATAGAGTCATCTTAGTTTCTTTTGTTATTCTTAAGAATATTTTAAATTTAATTGTGAATTGATAAAAAATTTCATACGTATAAATTTTATTATATTTTTTTTTATGATATTTTTTGGCTTGTATGTCTACTTACGTGTGATTTTAAATAAGATAATTAAAATAATTAATTTCATACTATGTAAGTTATTAAATAAGATAATTAAAATACTTATAGTCATTATCAGTATGTATTAAAGGTATTTATTTATATTCATCACATAATTTATTTATTTATTTATATTTATTGCAGATTTATTCCCGTTAACACAAATTATTTCCATTATCGTAATACTGACTAGTTATATTTTTTTATTATATTATCTTATTTTAATGAGTTAAAATTTAATATTTATATTAATATCAAATTTAATTACATATATTTATAAATAAAATATATGTATTATTATTTTTTATTTTATGCAGTTTTAATTATTATATAACAATTTAATTAAATAATAATTATTTTGTAGTATATTTTAATTATATAAAAATAAATATTAAAAATGTTATGTTATATATTTTTAAAATATACAATCAAATAATATTATATTAAAGATAAAATTATGAACCATTTTAGTTTAGAGAAATTTGAAACAATATATATGATTAATTTTTTAGTAAAGAAATTGTATAATTATTAATTTGTGTTTTATTAGGATTTAAAATAGTGTATTAAAAGATGAAAAAAAATCCTGATGGTTAAAAAAAAAGAAAAAAAGGTTAATAATAGTATGTTTTTGTTAAGACAAAACAAATTATTTTCTTTAAAAATGAATGTAAAAGTTTGTAAACTGATGAAAAAAAAATCTATCAGTTCCAATTTTTCGAATTGCATTTGAAAAAACCAACACTTATAATCACCTCAAATAGGAAATTAGATTTTATAAGTTGAAGACTCCAATTATAAAAATTGAAGAAGAAAAAATGAACCAAATATTGTAAAAACCTAACACTTGATTACAAATGCTTTCTCTTTCTATTTTTAAAAGTCAGTTTTTTTTTTCAAATTTAAGTTTGAAAAAAACAATCCAAAAACTTACTACCACATCAATTTGATTAACTAAAAAAATATATCAATTTGATGAATGGATAATTATATTGGTTGTAATAATTATATGTTATTATAAATAAATACAATAATAAAAAACTTATTATCCTTGCAATAATTAAAAATATAATTTATATTTATAATATCAATAATGGTTAACTGATTATACTAAAGAAAGTTAACTGCTAAAAAAAAGGATAGATGTAATTAATATATTAGTCAAGTCAAAACATACAAATGAGTTAGTTTAACATAAAACTAGTTAATCAAATAATTTTATTGAAATAGAAAATTTTGCTTGAAAAATTATATAATACACATGATAGGCACAAAAACTCTTGTTGGAGTGAGACAAACATTTCTTAAAAAAGATAGATATATAAGACATAACATTTGATACAATAATTACATTTTTTTTCTATTTCTTTAACCATTATGAAATATAATAAATAATGGGGACGAAAGATAGAAAGAAATGTTATTATACATATTGTTGAATGAATTATGGTATAAATGATATTTTTCTTTGTGGAAAATTCAATAATCATCCTAAATAGCATATGCTAAAGCTTATACTAGATTAAATTTTATTTTAATTTCTTAAATAAAATATTATTTATTTATTTTAAAATGAATTTCAAAATTTTGAGAGATTAAAAAAAGTATTTAATAAGAATAAAAAAAATTATACAATTTATAAAGGCTAAAACAATAGTTTTAAATATTGAAAAGACAAAAAAAATAAAAAACCATGAAAACCAAAAATAAAATACACTAATCTTACAAAAACTAAAATTTTATTTAAGTTTACAATTTTTTGTCTCTAAAACATATTTTAATTCCTCTTCATAAACACTCTTTTTATCTAGGATGATACAAATGTGAAATAAAATTATTATAACATAAAATATTTGTAATTTCTCAATTATGTACGGAATTTTTAAAAAATACTTGATAATCTTTTTTCCAATTACATAAACTTAAAAAAAAAATAGATTTGAAAGAAAAATACAATTTATCCGAACAATTAAAATTAGAGAGAATAAAGGCAAATAGTTGATAAAAACGGCTATTAAACCTAAAAAACAGGAATGATTTTAACAGACATATGGAAGGAGGAACAAACAAAAAGTCAAAGCAACAAGAATGCACGCAGAAGGAAAGAACATAACACAAATAAGAGGGAGAGAGAGAGAGAGAGCCTTCATTTTCTAACACACTCCTTTCCCTTTTGTTTCGCTCCACACAACAACACCATTAACACCGACCTCAAGCACATTCCTAGCTACCTTCTTCAACCTTTACTTTTTCCTTCCTTTTTGTTTTACCCTTCTCTGTCTCACATAGCTATTTCATACACAGAGAGAGAAAAAGGTTGCCACGTCGCCATCACAGCTTCTCCACCAAATCCGAAAGCAAAGTTTCCAATTTTCCTTCACATCGTAAATACACATATACATTCACACCCCATTGCGTTTAGATTTTTCTCCATTTTTTGGATTCTGTTTCTTTCTTTGCTCAGTGCCTCCACTGGGAAGACTTGATCTCACAGAGAGAGAGAAATGGGGAATTCATTTGGGTGCTCGGCGTCCGGCGAAAGGTTGGTATCGGCCGCGAGGGACGGCGATTTGGTTGAGGCGAAGATGCTTCTGGAATGCAACCCTTGTCTTGCAAAGTACTCAACTTTTGGGGGTCTCAATTCCCCTCTTCACTTTGCAGCTTCTAAAGGCCATAATGAGGTTTCAATTTCAATTCTGAACCAGCCGTTTTTCGTTTTTCTCATTCTAATCTTTCAAAGTTTTTGTCTTTACTGTTTTCATCGACCTCTTTTGATTCCCGAAGCTTCTATGTCTATTTTTTTTTTATTTCTTTTTAATCTGGGTTTCTGTTAGATTGTGGCATTGCTGCTTGAAAATGGAGCTGATATGAATTCAAGAAATTATTGTGGGCAGGTACGGGTTCCCCGTTTTGTTTTTTTTTTAATGCGTGTTTGATATGACAGGTTCATTTTGGGCTTGGATTTTAGTTTTTTGTGGTGTTGGTTTTGATATGATGAATTACTCGGTTTGATTGCAATGGTGTGATGAATTTAGGTGAACTTCGGTGTTGGAAGATTATGTTGTGTTTGAAATTGAAAAAGAAAAATTATTTCCCCCCATTTTTGGGTATGATTTTTTTCCATGCGTCTGCCATAGCTAGCGTGTCATTATGATTATTCACAGATCAGTAATAGCTGATAGAATGGTAATGTGCAGAAATTGCAGTTTTGTTTGGATGTCTGTGGCTTTTCTTTTTGATGCATGTATATTTTGTGATTCAAAATATGGTTCACTAAATGGGACTTTTATTTGCTTTTATCCTTGATTTGAAGACGGCCTTGATGCAAGCTTGTAGATATGGTCATTGGGAAGTTGTACAAACTCTTATGCTCTACAGATGTAATGTGAGTATGAGTTCATTTACTGTGTCATACGGGAAAAATTCAATCTTTTCACTATTCCTCTTCTCTCCCTCTTCCTGTCTTTTATGCTTCTTTTGATAGAGAGGAAAGAAATAAAGGGGAAGGTAGAGAAAGAGGTAAGAAATGACTATAGAGAGGTTGTTTAGCTGGAAAAAAATGAGTGAAAAGAAAAGTTATTTTATTGGTTATTATTAATTTTTATAAATTATTATTTCCTAATATTAATAGTAATTATTATTATTATTATTATTATTATGATAAAAAAAATACCCTTAATCGATCATGGGTGTCAAAAACACTTATTTTAGTCTTATTTTAGGCAACATAATGGATTTTGTTGCATTTCTTCACACTTATGTGCAGAAAACTGTCTCTCCCCCGTCTGTTCCCTCCTTTCTTCACACATCCATCCTGCCCCTCTTTCCATCCTCTAAACCAAATAAACCTTTAGTTATATTTTTGAACTGTTGTATCATATGGAGACCATAGGGCAGGGGTTGGTTGTTGAAAGTTGCAACTATGTGTAAGATGGGAAGGGAATTGCTGGTCTTCAAGTGTATTTTCTTGTTTACATTGTTAAAGTTTCTTTTCAAGAATAACTAGACTGTAGCCAATTTGATAACAGGTTTTGAAAGCAGATTATCTCAGTGGGAGGACAGCTCTACACTTTGCAGCCATCAATGGGCATGCGAGATGCATCAGACTTGTTGTGGCAGATTTTGTTCCAAGTGCTCCTTTTGAAACTTTACAGATTCATGCAGATGCGGAAAGTGATAGGTCAAATGTGAAAAACAAAAATGAACAAAGGTTTGCCTTTCCTTTTCATGATGTAATCTTTTAAGACAATGTAATACCAGTGCAATGAATTTCATGTGATATTTTCACCATTGGTGACATGCTTGTATTAAAAGGTTCTTTATATTAACGCCATACTCGTGTGTTAGTTTTATATACTCAATTTTTTAAAGTTTCATTCATACACATTTACCCATTTTGTTGTATAGTGTAATAATTATGTATTAGATACGAATATTAGTTGTGAGAGTTATGCTTAACTTTTTGTGCAAATTATGACATTGAGTATTGGTGTTATGAGGATTGTCAATCCTCACAAACCCAGTCGAACACAACTTGACCTTTAATGGTTTGGTTCAAGCAACCCGACCATATTTGGTTTGGGTTTTGGTTATGAGTTTGCAAACCCGAATTAAACCAACTTGAAATGAACTTCCCACACCAGATTTTCCAAAAATGAACACCCCCTGTAACAGAACCAAAACCATAGTGAGAATTGTAGTTTTGCCCTGTTTAGCTGTTATGAAGTTGGCTTCATTCTCTGCGATTCCCACTCCACATAGCCATAGTGGAGACACCACAGATGCTACAGGTTTACAAAGCAGTGGCATTTCTGAGGGGTTCACACAACAGCAGTGTTATTGTGGGTTTGCCATTGACCACCCTCTGATTCACTCTTGTTTGCTACTGATGCACACACTAATCTTATTAGTGTCATTAGGGGCCATCTTTTCCCATCTGTGACAACCTCATGGTTTTAGTTTGGATCGGCCCTTCCACTCTGCTGGTTCCCATGAACTTATTGATGTTTGAGTAGGGGATGAGGTTGTCGGTGTCATCTGTTTAGCAATGAATCAAGCCTGTTTTGGAAGGAAAGAGGAATTGGCCAATGATCAATTATTATTATTATTATTAATATTATAGTTTTATCATATGACTTGATCACTTACCTAAACCAATCAAGAGAGGGTTGGTTTAGTTTGGGTTTGTCTTGAAAAAATTCAGAGAACCAACCTGATGCAACCCAAATTGTTTTATTTGTTTGGATTTTTTTAATGGTCCAAACCTGACCCAACCTAGCCCAATTACACCCTATTGAGTTTTCTTTTAGTTATATTGATATTAAGAATGTTTTGAGGCATGTCTAGCCTACAAGTTGCAATTTCTGTATGTTATCTTGGTATTTATTTACTTCATTCCAGTGCAGTCTGCTGTCCAAGTTTGTAAACAAAACAGCTGATGCTGGTATTACTGCCCTTCATATGGCTGCATTAAATGGGTACTTTGATTGCGTACAACTGCTACTTGATCTTGATGCAAATGTGTCAGCTGCAACATTTCATTATGGAACATCAATGGATTTAATTGGTAATCTTTTGTTTAATTTTCGGACAAATGTATGCTACTTTTCTTTCCTCCTTGAAATTTACTGATGTGCATTGATATAGGGGCTGGAAGCACTCCATTGCATTATGCTGCTTGTGGAGGCAACTTAAAATGCTGTCAGGCAAGAATTTCTTTAACTTTGATTTGATATTCCATTTGGTCTTTTCCTTTCAATATGTCATGATGCTTTTATTTTTTGCAGATCCTCCTTGCAAGAGGTGCCAGTAGGATGGCTTTGAATTGCAATGGGTAAGATACTTTAAATGGAAATTTCAGTACAAACTTATGCAAGCCTATAGCATAAATGATTAAATATTATGAGTGTACATTTTTGCCCCTCCAGATGGCTTCCACTTGATGTTGCTAGGATGTGGGGACGTCATTGGCTTGAACCATTGCTGGCACCCACTTCTGAAGCCACAATATCGACATTCCCTTCTTCAAATTATTTGTCCTTGCCTCTCATGAGTGTACTCAACATTGCCAGGTAATTTTGCAGTCATGTATCTAGAATCTAGATGATGAAAATGATAAACCAAATTTTCTCCTAACAAAGAAATAATGGATTGTATTCTACAAGAAATATTTATTGATTATGATGGACTTGGTCCATATGCCATTTATTCTGAATGTGGGATGCTGGGATTTCATACTTTTCACTACTTATCGAACTCTTAAATAAGTATACATTTTTATTTGTGCATGTTTACTGTGATTTTAGCAAATAATACTTTGTGGAAATTGCTTACGATCTTTGATTTTAGATTTCTTATTAAACAAACGATAAATGACTTGACTGATTGATGTTGTTGTCTGTCCAATGAAATAAAATATACTCCCTCTATTCCTCTTCATAAGATCCAAATTAGAAGTAGTGTTTGTTCCTTTTTATAAGACCCAACATAGTTTTCCTTGCATGAATGATCTTTTCCCCAAAATACCCTTAATTAAAAGAGAGAAGGTAGTGCTAGCAAACAATTAGAAGAGAGAAAGAGAAATATTAATGGGTAGTTTTGAAAAAAATTTATGACCAAGTTAGCCACTTTCTTTAATCTTGATAAATTAGGTAATTGAGTCTTGTATAAATAGGAATGAAAGCAGTATTATATTATAGTACAGAACCCAAAAAAGTAAACTTGGTTATCCTTGCATATTTGTGAGAGAAGAATTGATTAAATATTTAGAATTTATTGTTGAACCTGTGAGACTATATTTAGAAATTCATCCGAATTTAACTGGTTTGAATTATGTTTGTATAGTAGGTTTTGAATTCTCTTGCACTATATATCATCATTTTGTTCTTTTACTTACATATAACTCTGTAGGTGACATTTTTATCAACATAATTTCATTTCGTCTTTTTTGTTATGTATTTTAAATATTCTGTTCAAAAAACAAAATATTTTGTTCAAATAACGAAATATATTATCCTAAGTCTGTCAATTCCCGTTATCATCTTATGCTCCTATCTTAAATTTGTTCATGCACAATTTACAACAGCACAAACATAAGGTTTCGTTTCTCTCTTCCATGTTCACTTCATGATGGTTCTAGTAATAATAATAAACTTCAGGGTCAAAGTCCTTCTCATAGTACTTAATCACTGCTTTCGGTGGTCTCTATTATAATGTTCTGATAATATTATGTTTATCATATATATTAAATGGTGCCCAATGGAGGCTAATGTTTGTCTCAGTAACTAACTCCCCCATCTTTGATATAGAAGTGATTTATTATATTCAATAAAAGGTATAGGCTGAGACAAATGCTGACAACACTGGCTTTCCTTAAGTTATTTGTGGTACAGGAGGGCATGCTAGAAAAACATATTCATCATGGAATATTTCTTTTATATTGTGGCTCCGCCCATTTGTTTTGTGTGGAATGAACACAAGTATCTTGGCTATTGAATGATTCTTAAAGACAGTGAGATAATACCAAAAGATGGAGTTTTCAACCTTGAAAGAGAAGGAGGAGAGAATTACTTTGTATTTGCCAATGTTGTCCTTTTCTTGATATACCAACCTAGAGTTAAATGCTAATGTATGTTTCTGATTTTTATTCTTGATTCAAATGCAAGACTGATTTGAATAACTGCAGAGACTGTGGATTGCAATCAACTACAACCTCTTCTAATGAAGTTGATGTTTGTGCTGTCTGCTTGGAGAGGTCATGTTCAGTGGCTGCTGAAGGTACTGAATTCAATTTTTTTGGATATCTGTTTATATTTGAATCTTTGCACGAGGATATCTGATGAACTGCAGTTCATTTCTAAAGTAATGGCGGAAATCAATGCGAGATTTCTAGAGCCTACGAAATTCTCTCTGATATATCATTCTGAGTTAATCCCATGTTTTCTTTCTTAATTTTGAAAATACTATGTTTGCAGCATTTTTTCCTTATGCATTCCTGTGGTGTTTGGATTGTCAAAAGCTGATGATACCATGTTAGAATTCATCGTGCAATGAGAATTGAGAGAAACTGAAATTCTGAATTGTTATTCAAATGAAAGAATGCTAGGGTACAAGTATTTGTACTGATCAAACAAATTGTAAAACAGCTTCTAAAACAAATTTTAAAAACTAACCAAATCAAACAAGACGGAAGTCATTTCTGTAAGATTTGCAGAGTGCTCGGCATTTGAGCTTACTTTTGTGGATGCTTTCATTTCAGTGCAACTAATCTCAAGCCTTTTAAATGCAGGATGTGGACATGAGCTTTGTGTAAAATGTGCCCTCTATCTTTGCTCAACAAGCAATGTTACTTCTGAAACGGGTGGACCTCCTGGTTCTATCCCTTGCCCCCTTTGCAGACACGGAATCGTCTCTTTTGTCAAGTTACCAGGTTCCCATGCAAAAGAAAACAAAATGCATGTGTCTCTCGGCCTGTGTACCCCATGCATACTACATACACGTGACCTAGCTCGCTCGTCTCTTTCTCATACCCCTGAGATTCGAAGGAACCGTGTAGCTTCAGTTCCTTCAGAGATGCTTTGTCCTGTCACTTGTACTCCATTTCCATCTGTAGCAATTCCTCTTTGTACTTGCAATGATGGTCCCTGTCCATCATTTGAACCCCGGGAAGCAGAAACACGAGATGAATCGCCTCGCCACTCTCAAGCATCGACGATGATGGATCAGGATAAAATGGAAGGTCCAAGGCTGGACAAAACAACATGCTCAGGTATGTTTTGGGGTAGAAGAAGTTGCAGCAGGGAGCATCAATGCAATTCAGAAATAAATGCTTGACTTAATAGGTTGGTGCATGCATGGCCATTCTTATCTTGTGTATACTTCATACAATATTAGATCAATAAAGGAGTCTATAGATTATCTTATTAACCTACCTCATGGTGAAATCCAGTGGATGTATATGTGAGTGATAGATAATCTTGCATGTCAGCATTCTACCACCATTTTAGTACACCCAGTTATGATTTTAGAAAAGTATGAGCTGGTTGCTATTGCCATTCAGGATTTCATTTTTATCATAGGAAACCAAGTCTTCTTTCAAAAGAAGAGAAAGAAGAAAAATACCTTTCTGTTATGGCATGTCTCAGATTTGTTTGTGTAGTATATTTTGTTTGTCATTTATTTTCATAGGTTTACAAAAAGAAGTTTGAGTCCTGCAACAGCTTGTTGCTGCATTTGTAATTGCCTTTTTTGTGAACTGGAGAATGTTTCTCCTTTCAACACTAATGTTATGCTCAAGTACTTGCTCAACAATTTGTCCCTGCATGGTTTGTTTTGTTTCTGTTGATTCAGTGATCTAAAGTTTTAATCTTGTTGATATTTTGAATATTGCAATAAACATTCAGAGAAATACTATGATGTGAGGTTTTTAGTTGTAGGGAAAAAAATTCTCTTAAAAGAAAATGGAAGTAAAAAGATATTAATGTCTTTTCTTTTCTTATTTAGTTGTAGGTGGTAAAACATATTCATTACACGATGATATATTCACTTGAAAAATATTAATAAACAAAAATAATAATACTTTTAATCAGAGGGCATATTTTAATTTGAATAAAAAAATAATGCAACAACTTTAATTTATTTATAATAATAAAATAATGTAAAATGTTATTACACATTTATAAATTAAATAATTTTTCCTTATATTCTTTTTTAATTTTATCGTATTATTATTTTTAATGTTCATTTAATTAGATTATTTTGTAAAGTGAGCAATGTTTTAAATTGTTTAAAGACAAAAGAAATACAATTTCAAATACATTAGCATTAGGAAATATAATTTCACTTAGCTTAAGCAAACAAACTATAAGAGAATTAGATATTTTTTTAATATAATAAGCGTTAAGTGTATATATTAATTTCAAATTTAAAAAAAATTATCTTATTTTTTATGAACATTTTTTTGCCTTTATTCAATACCTATTTAATTAAGCTACTAATTCAATCGAACTTTGTCAATAGGTTAAGGTAGCTCACATTATGTTCCGTTGGAAGGAAGAAAAATAAAATAAAATGTGAGGATAAAAAATAGAGTAAAAAATAATTGTAGTTTAAAAAGAAAATGACATAAAAAAATATATTTATTTTAAAAAATGTATTAAATTATTTTTTAAACAAAATAATTTATGTAGTTAACCCCTTCAAATTGGAGAGATGAGAGAGACTTAGTTTTATATTTTTTATATTTAAATTTTTTTTTCTTCTCATATATTATTATAAAATAAAATATATGGGATCTAAAACAAGATGACATACTATTGAACAAGAAAAATAGATTTTTTACTCGTTTTTTCTAAGCCAATCATTTTCTATATATATTTTTTTCATTAACGTATTGTTTGGTACATATATGAACTATTGCTACATATGAAAGAGTTGAGGTGATTTGAGTTGTCTAATACGTTGGATTGGATGATGTGTGATGGGTTAAGTGATTTCCATTATATTAGACATAATTGATTTTGATTTCCATTTTATTCACTTAATTTAAATAATCTTAATTTTCACTTTGAAGTTTTTTTTACCTTTTCTATTCCTTATTTTTATGATCTCATCCTATAAAAGGCTAAAGGAAAAGACCTTGGCCTATTATTTTGAGTTAGTAGTATAACTTTGCTTTTATCATGATTTCGAAACGTGTTATCACTTGGCAAGGGAAAACATATTTTGTTTCGAGGCTAATACCCTTCATCTTGTTATTATCATCACTGTGAATGCCGCGCTAGAATGAGTCAGGAAGTCAATGATGTGAATGAAAATAACAGAAATTTCGTGGGATCAGTGGAGATCTTCAAGATTTATTTTGGATTTTTAAATAATATATTATTAATAAATAAGAAAAGAAAAGAAGATGAAAGAATTAGATGAGGAAATTATAAATATATAATTAAATATATTTAATAATTTAACATAATATTTTTTTCAATAAATTAATTATTATCAAATATCAAAATAAATTATATTAATATTTTTTAATTATTTATATTTATTTAGAGGTCTCTTCCTTTTTATATTATATATATTTTAACTATAAATCTATTATCATTTTCTAATAATAACTTACAAATAAATTATATTTATATATAAATTAAGATAATTATCACTACCAGAATTTGAACCAAGTATATTAGAATTAGATACTGATACTCCAATCACTAAACTACTACGATTTTCTAATAATAACTTACAAAAAAATTATATTTATATACAAATAAATGTATACCGGTGTAAATATATAAATATAAAATATATAAATATATTTATATATTTTGAATATTCATCGACGGTTATATCTATCGGTAACTAATTATTAATTTATCAAAATTGTTAATTTACCGACGGATATCCGTCGGTAATTAATTATTCATTTACTTACGCATATACTGGGTAAGATCAAATCTACAAATACCTTAATTAGTCAATAATTTCTGTTAATAATTTTTTGATGATTACCTATTGATAATTAATAATTTTCTTATAATGACATACTCCAAGTTTTATATTTTCTCTTACCATTCGTTTTCCTTGCACCAGAATTTTTTTTTTTTTATTGTTGAGCAAGGTTGTGATCATTACGTAAATTTCTTGGATGCCTTTGTTATGATAAGCAATAACTATACTATTATTATGACTTATTAATAGCTCTGAATATTTCTGTCCTGTTAAATTAAAATATTTGGAGATTTATTGTGTGATTAAAATTAATATTAAAATTTAAATCATAATTATTTTTTGACATCTTAATAATGATAATGCAATGTCACATTGAATTGCTGTATTGTACTTCCACATAAATTCGACACATAAGAGACACAATTAGAAGCCTTTTTTCCTGATGTAAAAAACTCAAAATAGTATACATAAAAAGTCTTTCCTACTAGTGCAAAAAAGATACTAAGAGAAAAAAGAAAAAAAAAAAAAGGAAAGAAAGGAATACAGAAAAAACTATCAATAGTTAAAGGAGAAAAAAATCCTCTCAAAATTTAAACATAAATTTACATTAATTATAATAACAACTAAAATATTTTGACATTTTAAGTTCAAATAATTACACTGATATGAATTTATGACTCGTGAGAACTTAATCATACGTTGAAAGAACAAAATATCAGATGTAAAAGAGATTTTGTGTACTAGTATTCTTTCATTCAACTAATCTCATGTTGCCACGTTTGAGATCTCCATCCATGAGAGTGAGACACGCACCCTCTCTTTATATGGGCAATTATTATTTGTTTGCTGTGTTGGGTGTCTTGTCCCTTACCAAGCTTTTGTTTCTTTCTTCCATAGTTTTACATAGAATATGCATAACCATGCCACACTTTTCAGAGAATGCGTAGAAGCATGGGACGCCACCAAATAATTCAGCAATCATATTCATTCATGCTTCATTTCTTCATATGTTATTCATGATAATGTATAGTTATAAATAATGCAAAAGAATTATAATGATAAATTCATATAAAAGATTAACTCCATCATTAGTCCTAGATAACCATGAAGAAGTCGCTATGATGGGTAGAAGGAACATATAAATTATGCAGTTCACAACATATTATCATTGAATACTAATTAAATGCTAAAAAAATGTAACTTTGGGTTGTGTTAATTACAATCCCATATATATCTTTTGGTTTTTTCAATAGAAAAACTAACACTAATCGAAAACGACAGGGATAAAAGATTATCCATATTTAAAGCTTCAACTGCAACTTCATATGCACCATCTTTTGTCCCTTTGTGTTTTAAACCACACTTTTGCTCCTTTCTTCGTACTTTGGTGTCAAGTTTTTTAATATAACAGCTTTATTGGAAGGAAATTCATTCCTTAAATTTGAATCTAGATCATTTAACTCCATTGTTGTCTACAGCAGAAATAGATTATTGTTTAATGAACTATTTTAAGGGTTCTGTACCATATACGTGTGAAGCACTTTCTGTACCATTGATGCTTCTTATTAGATATATGCATTCAACCAGAATAAAATCATAGATATGCATGTGCTAGCAAAACTCGTTTGCAAGGTGGAGAAATTGAAATGAAAGAAAGCTAGATCATTAAAAATGTTAGACAGTAACAGTTGTGCTGATAACATGTTCTTTTCTCATTATATCGTAACACATCATATCATTACACTCCAGGCACCTATTAGAAAGCCACAAGCTCTGCTAAAGCTATGTTTTTCGTATCACAAAAATTACAGATTCTTTAAAAGAAACATAACACTAGTTTGGTCCCAACTTCTCATATAACCTATAATAGCTATAAGTACATAGTACATCGAGAATATCTACTACCTTTTAACACCACCTACCTCTCACAGTTTCCCTTGAGGACTCCAAAAGAAAATTGAAAAACATAAACTGAAGAGTGGAAGAGATTTCATCAAACACACCTATCCTTATTATACAACCATGCCAAACCCTAAGAAAACCAAAGGAAAAAAAATCTCATTATGAGTTAATTAAGGTTGAAACAAGTTAACTTTATTTACTGCAACCCTTTTTTTTTGTTCTTCTTCTAGAGTCACCTCCTCCTTGCAGCAGTCTCTCTTTGAGCATTGAAGTAAACTGCAGCTACCGGTAGGCCAAGGCCATTCTCTTCCGAGAACCTCCTTGTGTTGAAATGGTCTCTTGAAGATGGAGGTCTCACTGTTTGTCTTCCTCTCTGCTTGAACAAGATGAACACATATCTGTGGATTCCTATCACTGGCTTTGGACTCTCATAGACCACAATTTCTTTTCCTGTAAGAATATATTAGTTCTTTATGTTAACAAAATGTCTTTTTTTTTATAAGCATCTTTAAAAATGATATGTCGTAGTTCTTTTTTTTTTTGGTATTAAACATGACATATATATATATATATATATATATATATATATTACATAGTGGCAAAAGTATATCTAGTACAAGAAATTAAGAAATATAGATTATCAGAATCAACATTGTGGGATAAGAGTGAGACTAACCAAAAGAGACATCTGTGGTGCCAGGAATATCTGTAACCATCCTGGCAAATTGTCACCAAGATAATGAGGGAATTGATAGTACAATGAATATAGACAGATAATAGAGTTTGATTATACAAACCAGTGAAGATGTTCCCTTAGATATGGATCACTGGGACTTGGAGCATCTGGGTCTGTCATGATCTGAAATATTTGGGAGATAAGAGTGGGCATATATACCCTGTGATAGTACTAATAGAGACATATATATGTTCAAACAGAAAGCTAGGGTGAATGAGTAATCATTTTACCAAGGTATAAGCAGTTCTCATATCATCACCACCAATCTCCACGCGTGGCTTGGCCATAATAGTAGAGGGCATTAACTCATGACCATTAGCAACTTGCTTGGTGGAATATGTCACATTCATTCTCACACTTGGGCTGAAAATGTCAACCACTTCTCCTATCACTCTTCCCACAGAAAGTGGTTCCATGAGCCTAGAAATGAATTGGAATGAAATTGCAAAGAGAAGGGATACTGATGAAAAAATATGCTCTAAAGCTTTGTGTATGAGGGTACATGAGAAGTGAGAGATTTTGAAGGCGTTTTATAGGCTCCAAAAGGATTTATAAAGGGAAATAAATCATGAGCTTGGCTTGGATTAAAAGCATAAAGAGAGATTCCATACAAGCTTGTCTATTTTGGGAAAGGACACCTATTTTAAGTAAACAATTTGGGTTCTTCAAAATTGTTAAGGGAACACACTAGAGAGACTGATCATATGCTGCATTATTAATCCCAACTGATCACTCTGAACAACTTGACGTTGTATTCTGTATATCAATTTTTATGTCTGATAAACGGTAGAATCTACTATGTGTCCTTAACGTATTGGCTACACGAGAATGAAGAATTTGTGCTATTTGTCCCACTACATTATAATACCTTTGGCAAATGAGAATTCGACTTTCTGATAAGGTGCTGAATTTCATGCACATGATTTCTCATACCAATGAAAATGAAATCTTATCAGTTTAGGATTTATATTTTAAATTCAACGGAGAAGCTAAGTCTAACTGTCAGAAATTTGTTCAGATATAAAGTCTAATTAACAAAGTCATTTTCATCAGTTAAGATCCATTTCCCACTGAGCAATGATTTCTTTCGACAACTTTGACACAGCATATGTTGTCCTTATATATATATATATATATATATATATATATATATATATATATATATATATATATATATTAAACAACCTTAGAAATCACATTGCAAATACAGTAAAGTGAACACGTTGTTATACCTTGTTAGGCAGCCACGCATGACAAGACCTTACACGATATTATAACTGATATTTCATTTGGGATGATGAACATTTATTAGGGCTAAAAAGTGTTCTGAATTGCATGCGAAGTAATCTCATTTGGCTCCAAAATCACGTTTAGGGGACATAATCGATTTTGGGTTTGGTAACTTGTTTCCATTTTCAAAACTTACTCCGCTTGATTTGGACTCATGTTTAGACGAGAACAAAATGGACGTTTTCCGTACAATATAACGTGTAGCGTCCACGTTAAGACGCGAATTCTAACACACATCATGTCAACCAGAATTGGTTTTGTTGTTTTAAATTTACATTCTTTTCCATACGAAGAGAATTTTTGCAAAATATAGAACAGATAAGATTGTATGCAGTCTTCATTATTTTATTTACCTATACATATACAAATAGAATGTCAAGAATAAAAGTAAACTAAAAGATAAACCGATAATCTTATCTAGGATATATCGTATAAAAGACAAACCAATCACCCTCAACACTTTCTCTCAAATTGGATACGTGTTAAATGCATCTAGCATTGTAAGTTATTCATTCACCATGGAATCCACTTTCTCTCAATTGTGAAAACTCTAGACAATAGATGGAACCAAGTTTTGTCTTCCCACATGAATCGTACTACGTTGCCATAATTTTCTCCTACGAGTTGGATTGTTACCATTGGCGTACCAGGTATGGATGACCCAAGTAAAATGGTGATGAAGACATAATGATCAGTTGTATCGAGGCATTTTCTTTCAATTTGGCTTATATTTAACTTAATTGTAAAACCTAGTGTGTAAAATAAAGATGATGTATTCTTCCTTCTTCATATATACTATATTTTGCTCATATATTAACTTAAACCTAAAACTTTTAAGATTATGAAACTTTAACATCACACATCTCTTATTTTATTTTTATTTTTTTCTTAATGTCAAATTTTAATTTACATTTGAATTTCCAACTCTAATAAATTGCGAACATAATATCATTAATGTCATTTTCACTCGTCTTTCTATGAATTATATAAAAATAAAATTTACTAATATGTTTATAATAATTATTTTAAAATATTTCGTTTATAAATAAAAATATATTAGTCTCAGTATCTGTTATGATAATATCGTTATTGTTAATTTTTATGTCTAGTATATTGTTTGTTTTAGAAATCTAATTTGTTACAATTTTATGTTTAAGACACATCAATAGGTTAAAAGAAGAAGAAATATTAATGTATATAAACTATCATTTATTAAGGGGATATATGAGATATATGCGAGTGAAGCGAAATTCTATTTTTAACCCTACAGTGAACACTAAATATTTTTATGTGATTGGTAGAGATTGAAAAAAAAGTGTGAGATTGAACTAAAGAGATTTATAGATAATATTTTAAGTTACGACTTCAAGATAGTTGAAAGGAACTTATTTTAGAAAGAGCATAAGCCACCTACAAAAAATATTATACTCTTAAATTTGCTCGTTTTTAGATAAGAGAGTAGTCTATTTGAGAATAAGTGACAAAGTGAAGTTTATTCTATATCTCTGAGTCTCCTTATATAAAATACATAACATAATAATAACTTAAAAATAACAATTAATAGTACAAAGGTAACTTGTATAAAATATTATACAATATAATAACAAATAATTAATAAAATAATTAAATAATTTTAATGAATTTGATCGGATGCAATTAGTAATTGATTAATAATAAAAAGTTACATAGATATTATATCAAAATTAAATTATTATTTATTAGTGTTGTATTAACAAAAATGACTTAATCAGCCAAATAAAATAAATTTTGAAATATATATATATATATATATATATATATATATATATATATTGTTAATTTGAAATGCTTTAATTAATTCTTTTAAATTAGTTTATTCACAATTTAAAATAGAGTGACCCTAAATCATATGTATCACATTATTAAATGTAATGCATTTTCAATGAAACTTTTAATATTATCACAATAAAATACTATAGATGCTACTTATCAATACATATGTAAGCTTTGGCATCAAGTCAATCAACAAATTCTTCTGTCATAGTAATTCATGAATAGACATCTCAATTTTATGTTTTGGTGAATGGACATGTCAATTGTTTGTAGAATCAATTTCTCCCAGATTCATGTTGCACAGGTGGCCGGTTCAGGTTAAAAGAGATGGTTCAGATTCAATAATAATTGAAAAAAAAAAACTGTTTAACCCTTTTCAACAAAATTAATTATTTTATCTTTGGCTATCATATATTCTGCTAATTCTGAAGGGCAAGAGGGAACAAATTAAAATGTGATCATTTCATTCACATGGTATATATAATAATTATTCTGTATATTGTATGCATTTTTGTAGTTTTAATATATAAATTATATAAAAAATTAAGCATCTTAAATTTATTCTGCACTTATAAAAATCAGAAAGGGTTAAGTAAAAACGTAACAGCAAGATTATAGACAAAGTATTGATGTATAGAAATAGAACTAATTAAAACTACCATTTGAGGGAAAAAAAAATCCTTAACAGAAATGAAACAATTTTAAAAAGTCACAAACATAAAGAAAGTTTGAGCGTTTAAATTCGAAATAATTAATATGAGAAAGTATAAATATTTGAAAATTTAGGATTAGTGATTAAGTTGAATAATTTTACGCTAGCTATTCACTACCTCGACAATTCATTATCCATATTCATTGAATTGAATGAAAATGATGGAGAAATAGACGATGATAATAAATAGGAGAGACGTGTGAGAATAATTTTACGTGCATGTTGCATTATTATATAAAATTATAGAATTTTTATTTCCATAATAAGAGATGCTGTTTCTACGACTAGAGTATTAGTTGTCAGAAGAAGGAAAAAAACTTTATCACAAATTATTGAGTTATATATTCTTTTTCCCCACTTCTTCCGAAACACGGAGAAGAATACGCAAAGAAAAAGAATAAGGAATAAGCACAATTGAACCGAAAGAAAATTCATTAACCACTACTAATAATTTATCATATTTTCACCTATTTTTTTCATTATATACTTCTTCTGTCTGTTTCCCCACAACACATTAAATGAACACATGTTTTCAATCTCCATGTATATTGCAAATTTTATTTTATTCTATATGATTTTAAATTGCTAAATATTATTATGTTCTAATTTGATAAAAAATATATATATGATTTTAAAAACTAAATTAATCAATTTTAAAAAAATAATCAAAATTATTATAAAAAGATTCCACTAGAAGATACTCAAACTAACATGAAGAAGAAGACATGTCTATGTATATCAGCCATTAACATTACAAGTGTCCAATTTCTTAGTCTTTTATTTTGGCTAATTATTCCATCTACAATTGTTTATTCCGGTACTTTCATTCATCACATCAAATGTATAACTTATGAAGACTCAAATTATGCAATTAGATTTGACTTTGAAAAAAAAAAGACAAATACGTAATTTTGTTTAAAAATTCACACAAATATTAAAATTTGAAAATAATTCAATTTTATTGACTAAAAATCCCAAATATTTAGTTATTAAAAAAAATAATTAGATTGATATAACTCTATGAACACTCTAATCCTAATCCTATGTACAAGAAAGAAAGCAAATAACTTTATATATATAATTATCTTTAGTTGTTTTTTATGGTGTGGAAGGTGGGATGATAAAAAAAATATGAAATAAATATAAATGAATTAGACGTGTAGAAAATATATAAAATAAAAAATATATTATTGGCAATATGATTATTTACACTAATGCCCTTCCTGTCATGTAGAGAGTAATCAATTTTTTGCAAAGAACTAGCCTGTGAGATTATGTTATGTGGTGGACATGTTAAAAATTATATAAATGAAGTGAGAATATTAATTCTCATAAAAGTCTTGATATAATTTAAATTGTGTTGACTCAAGTCAACTGTTTTTTCTACGACCTTGAAAAGTTGTAGGTGGAATGGTTAAATATGTTTTAATCTACACATAATTGAATTGCCTAACTTTTTGTGGTTTTTAAAATTAATTCTGCATAGAATACAAAATATATTTTTCAATTTGCCATGCATGCATGCCTGTATAATATTCTGTTTTTTTTTCTATGGATCATAAATTATTTTTATTGTTATATGAAAAAATAATTTTAAAATACATTTTTTATTTTATTTTTAAAATTTTTTATGGTTTTAAAAAATAAATTTTTGTCTTTCCCATGTTAAAGAAAAAAAAACAAAATGTTAAAAAACCCAAGAATAATATGTAGTTTGTTAATATTTATTATTTTCCTTTACTTTTTCTTTTGAATTAAATACATACATATTTTTCTACATCTCACTTTTTTTTTCTACTTTCTTTCACTTTAATTTAACAAATTTATTTTCTATTTTTTAATTCATTTTCTCACAGCCTTTTTAACATTGTGAAATAAATTATCAACTCTTGTAATTGGAAATTGTCAACCTTTTGAACATTAAATAAATTATGTTAAGCAAATATTTATTTTATATATGTTAAAGTTTTTCGATGATTATATTATTATATATTCGATCATTAATGAATATGATTGAGAATAAAGAAACATAACAAAGTTTTGTACTATCACAGCTATCTTAAAGAAAAAACTTAATCTTAACTTTGAATTTAAAGTGATGTGATTACGATAGTTTTGTTTAATTCTTCCTTTATTATTATTTAATTTAATTATTTCAACTTGATCAAGTATTTTATGAGTAAATCGAGACCTAGCAAGTATGATATTACCTGTAGAGTGTCAAATAGGTTCCTCATGTTACCTTAAAAATGAATTAGTTTAATCTGATTTTCTTTTAAGTTAAAATTTTTATAATTTAGCTTAATCTATAATGGATTTATGAATTAAGTGGGTTGATTCACTTAAATATATATTTTTTTAATAATTTTTTACTTTTTAATAAATAGATTAAATGATTAACTTATTAACATAAATAATGGATCTAAAAACAATTAAAATATTAAAAATTGAGAAAAAATAAATTAACTTATAATTAACTTATTATTATTAAAAAAAATTAAATATTTTCAACCCAACTCAATTCGAATCTGAACCAAATTAAATCACCAATTGAGACTCATAACTATTTTGAGACTTTCTATGTATTTTGTTCATCGGATTTGTTTTCCTTCGTATTATTAATTTATTAAAAAAAATTATATAATATTTTGTTAGAAAAATTGAATACAAAAATAAATAAAGAAAATAAAATAAATAAAAAATCCATCAAATTAAGTGTGCAATTTGAATCTGTAATTTATCACAACTGTAAAATTTTGGTTTTTTTAGTGTCAGTGTCTCATTAACATTTGTATTAGTCCATTGTTACATCATTGTATGTGACATCAATTACCAAATTAGCATGTTAACATAAATTATATAATTTCTATATTATACAACGTTTGTCAAAAGAATTTAAAAAAAGTTAATAACAACTAATGGAGGGTCCGAATTATATGTGGGAAAAAATTTTGGGACTCAACTAACACAGTTGAGAATAAGAGACTTTAAAGACGTGGAAGGAATGAAAACCATATTATGAAATAAAAATATCTCCTTATTCTTATTTTGGACACTTTTGTGATGACAGATATCTAGCACATAGCACTGTCTGAGATTTTTGTGGACACAGTAAGAGTCCACAGCAAGAGAAAAAATATCATTAATGAAAACAAAAAAACAGTATTTATGACATTTCAGTTATAGCTTAAGGTTTTTATCGTTGTTTGTTTATGGGTTCTGGAAACTTCTCATATAAATAAATAAATGTCATTGTTTAGGATGTAAATAGTAGAATTACTGTCGGTTATATAAATAAAAACTCGTAAACTTGATTAGGGAAGATTTTTATGATGTTTTTCCCCCTTAATGTTAAATTACATTATAAATCAGTGTGAGTATTGGAAGATAAATTCAATTTTAGTAACAATAAAAAACATTATATACATATTTTACTTTCCGTTGGGTGAATATAAAATTCAGATATTTGTTGGTATTTCAATTTTCATTCTCCTTTGAGCTTATAAAAAAAATCAATACATTTTTTGTTGTAAATATCAAAATAAGAAAAATGGTCTGTGAATCTCTTTTTTTCAGAATAAAACAATTTAAATTAGCATTAGTCAACTGCAATGTATATTATTTATATATATAATTTTGAGAACAGAAGCATAATATGAATAATCAAGATATTTAAATTGATATTTTAACGATATATTTAGAACTTCATGAAATATTCGATACATACTCGATAAAATAAGGATGAAATATCTCATTATTTCTTGTATAATTATATTCTTAATTTAAAATTAACATTTTGTATCTCACTCGTACTATACAATTTTGAATTTGATCGCTCATTTTTATATTGACATAGATATAGAAAAATATTATATAACTATTCTCCTCTCATCCTCAATATATACTATAGAAAAGGACTACAAAATTTTCATCATCTGGCACAAGTCAGGTAATATATATATATATTTCCATATTATTTTTACATATTTCTTAAACGTTTCAAAGTTATAGAAGGATAAAATATTTTAAATCATAAAAATAAAAAATCTCTCACTGTATTATGTTAAAGAAAATCAATGACATAAAATAGGGGCATATTTAATTAGAATTAGCAAGTTTAAAAAAACTTAAATCAGCACAAATTATTTCAAAGGAAACTAGACTAGTAAAATAAAATATAAACTAAATTGTCAAAATATTGAAAGATCAAAATTCGTATTAACTTTGAGCGTTGGGATGACTTTATCTTGAAATTATTATTTTTTTATCATTTTTAATAGTGAAAAAAAACCATGGTTAAACAAATAAAATAATTATTTCATGTTATAACTAAACACAAGCTTTTCTTTTAATCGTTACCTAAACTAAACCCTCTCACAAATCAATTAATAAATAAATATATAAAAATAATAATAAAGAAAAGGTTAAAGTTAATGGGCTTGAATTCTGTTCATGGCCCACAATAACTTTGATGGACTTACAAAGCCATAGTTCTGAAACATACCACTTTAGAGTCTATTAATAAAGAAAATGTATTTTTATAACTTTTAATTTTCTTTAATTTCCGTGTCATTAACATTAATGTTGAAATAATCGAAATTAGTCGGTCTGTAATTATAAATTTAACATTTAAAGAATTAATTATATATTGACAGTATATATACAATTTTGTCCTCGTAATTGTTCCCACAATTAGATGGCATTGTTTAAGTATATGGCTTAGGTAGCCAAATTCTAACATAACCTAATGAAAGATATTACCGTACAAGTTATTAATTTTAACTTTTTTTGGCAAGATACAGAGTATTTATACCACTGTTTTGCATGTGTTGGATTGAGGGGTGAATTTGAGATAATGAAAAAAAAAAGATTACAATATTTCGATTGAGGGAAAGATAACCGAAAATTGAAAAGATTTTATTTATTAAATAATTCAAAATAATAAGATAAAATAATAAATGATTAAAATATCTTTTATATAATTTTATCAAGAATAAATATAATTTAATTAAAATATATTTAATATGAAATAAATATATATAAAATATATAAAAATAAATTGAAAATAATTTATATATAAATTTAAAAAATCTAATATTTTATATATAAACTAAAAACTTCAAAATATTTTAATATTTTGAAAAAAATATTCTAAAATAAAAATGATTAAATTTAGATTATTATTTATTTATAATTTTAATTGATTTTTAAGTGATTTATAATTAAATATCATCAATATTTTAATTTAATTCAATATATATATATATATATATATATATATATATATATATTGAATTATATTATAATTGATTTTTGAAATTTTTACATTGAATTTTTTTAATCCATAGTTGTTGTATTAGTTATATGAAAAAAATAATATTATATTAACAATTTAAAGATATAATAGTGTTTGGTAGTTCCACCCATCCATCTCCTCGTATGAATTAATCAATCCAAACAAAATTCATTCACACAAATCATTATTTCCATTTCCTTAGATACATTACACTATCAGAAACAAACACAATCTAAAACAAAAATGTTAATAATATAATAAATTAGTATTTTTCTTTTAATAACCGTGTATATAATATTACTTAATATATAAGAGAATTATTGTTTCTTATAACATAATATTACTTAATATACAAGAGAAATGAGCAAAAATATGTGCAAAGAATGAAAAAGAACATGAGATACATTTAAAAAGTAAAAAAAAGAATTAAAAATTAATAATTCAAAAAATATGGATATAAATACTACAAATCTCTTTCTATTGGTAACTATGACAATGTGTGAATAATAATTGGGATGGGTTGACCCACAAAAGTGTTATAAAGACCGTCCTGTCTTCGGGTTATGCGACTCAGTCTGCATAATATAAAATAAAAAAAATAAAAAAATCATCTTTGATGTCTTATATAATAAACATACCTTTTTTTCATATTATCTTTTTATAATTTCAATTCATAAAAATCAAAATAAAATATAATAATAACTCTTCTTAAAAAGAAAATTTGATTGGTATAATGGTGTTTAGTTAAATATTTGTTAATATGGCTAAAATAAATTTTTATCTGACATAAAATTAATAAATTATAGTGTTCTAAATTAACCTAAACATTAAAACGGAATAAAAACACACAGAAATCGAAAGTAGATTAGATGGATAATTTAAAAATTTATAAATAATCTATTAATTTAAATATTTAAAAAAAAATTATGCAAACCTAAACAAACTATGATTATGTGGGATAAACCTAAATCAACTACAAAATTATATTTAACAATTAAGTTTCTATTTTTCATCCTTTTCTCACTATACTATAATTCGTTATTAGTCTCAATATTTAGCCTTTAACCAAATTTATTGATAGATTGCACTACTTTCCCAAACAACCTGATCACGCCACTTGTATACCTTAAATAAAATTGTCTCCCATATCTTCTACTAGTAATAAAAATTAAAAAATATAACTTTACAACTGAATTTTAAAAAAATAACAATTAGATAATTGTTACTACTCAAAATTACTTTTACACTTTGATGAACAGTGTCACTTGAAATTTCCCTTTAGTCCTAACCTAATTCTTTTTTATGGGTATCTCCAATTTAGGGTATGACTCTTGTTTACCATTATCCAGTTTGTTGTTTCTTGTTCAAATTTGTAGATAAATATAACGAGATTTTATATTAAATTCTAGTGGGCGACTAAGGGTAGGTACCTTGTTATCCATAAGATGGTCACATAATTAGATTTAATTGTTTAGACACTATAATAACCAATATAACAATAATTATTATTATTATTATTATTATATTAAGTTATATAATTGTTTAAGTCTAAAATTACAAATAAATTGAAAAAATAAATCGAGAAAGGAGACATCGATAGTTGTAAGGAATAAATGTAATAATTGATAAAAGACGTATTATGAAGATAGGAAATCGATCATGAGATGTCATCGAAGAAAATGATTGAGAGATATTGAGGAAATTAAAACACCATTAATCGATAATCGAGGATTGAAAGAGTGAAGAATGTTGAACCTAAATGACATAATGTATCGAAAAAATAAGATATTGAAAAATGATTATATTAGAGAATCTTCGTGTAGTGTATCGAAAGAGTTATGAAGATAGTTATGATCCAATTCTATGGTATACATACTTACAATTGACACACATAAACAAAATGGAGTGAAGGAAAACAGTTACAATGAAATAATCGTTTAAAAATTATAGTTAATATTTTATTTATTTTTAATTTTATTATTTTTTACTTTATGTCATCTTGGTGGTTATATTAAAAAAATATATAAGATAAAATAAATATAATCGAATTGATTGTTAGATTGTACGAATAAATTTATATTATGAAAAAATACTACGAACAGGAAACAAACATTTTTAATGAAGTTTTTTACAATTTAGATTATAATTTTCGTTGATTTTCTTTACCAATTTTTATTTTAATAATGAGTTAAATTTATTTTTCTATCATTTATATTATTCACATATTTAATTTTCAACAATTCATTTTTATTATTTTATACTATTCTTATTATTTACATTAAATATTTCAAATCATACTAAAGGTAAAAATAAAAATTAAATACAAATGATGTCTGATTAAAATATATTATGTGTTGAACTCACATATTTAAACCATTCATCATGGAAATTACTGAGTAGCATTTAATAAAATCCAACGATGAATAATTTATACTAAAAAATAAATATTTTTATAAACTAGATTTTTAAACCCATAAAAATTCAACTTAAAATAAATTTAAGTCCTGATAATTTAATGAGTCATACCTTCCAAATTAAGATATTTATAAATTAACGAGGATGAAAAAGTAGACAAAGCAAAATTTTCCCTAGAATTTCTGCATGATGATCTCATGCATGATGAAATCCAACTTGATTTTTCTTTTTTAGGTATTCTTTGACATGGACATTTTTCAAACAATGTTCCCACACTAAGCTTCTTAACCCTTTTGGATTTAATTTATAATAACTAAACATTTTAAATATACCCAACATACTAATAGATGAGAAGAAAAGCTAAAGGACTCTTTAATTTTTATAATTAATTTAGATAATCTTTTAACATAATGTTCTGTATATCTACATTGGAACTATAATTTACAATTATAACAAAAATAGAAGAATGAATCATTAGTAACAACAATATATTTTGTCTTATATTTTTTCAGTTTTGAAACATTAGTTGGTGTGGACTGGGCCATTTTGGTCACATAATTATACATGCATTGTTGCATTAATATGTGAAGAAAGATTTAAAAAAAAAATTATGTTTATAAATTCCTCCACGGCAAAATAACATATGTAAGCAGTTAAAAAAAAAAAAGTAAAAGGAAAGAGAGATAGAATAAGATAAAAAAAATATTGTTTGTTAAAAACAAAGTGATATAAAAACATTAAAGAGATATTTATTTTAAAAATAAAAATAAAAAACTATTTAATTATAAAATTATTTATATAATTATTAATTATTTTTATAATTAAAATAAAATTATAAGTTGTCATCTTTAAATTAATATATCATGTTTGAATAATATATACTTTGATATATAATTAAACAACATTTTTAACATAAAATTATTTTTTAAGTATTTGAGTTTAAATTAATAAATAATTTCATATTATAAAAAAAAATTATTAATTAATTTTTATAATATTTTATAATACTCTAAAAATAACAATTAATATATATATAATATAAAAATTAAATGTAATCATATGATTATTTATTTTTTGAATTAAAATAATTATATAAATAATTTTGTTTACTTATTTTATTTTTGCTTATATATATATATATATATATATATATATATATATAAATAAGTGAAAAAGAAACATATAGATTATAGTAAATTTATAATTTTTTTATCATTTTCCTTATTATTGTATAAAAAAATATTTTTTCACTCAATTTTTTACATTAATTATTTTTTACTTTCGATTTTTTTATAGTTATATATATATATATATATATATATATATATATATATATATATATATATATATATATATATAAGAATGTATAGATAGTTTTTATTATAATATTAATAAATCATATGATAGATTTGTTTCGTTTAAATTTTAACTAGATTCATCAAGTAGATATTTTATGACAAGTAAATTTATTTGTTAGACATATTTTCGTTCTTTTATGATTTTTGTGTTAGTATATTAATATTCAATTGATAATTTTAATACATTCTTTTAATTTAATGGTGATTATATGACGTTAAATTTAACAATATTTAATTATTTATAGTAACAATTATTTTTGTACCATATTTATATTTTTAAAACGTGTTCAATAAAATGTTTTTTAATTTCTTATCCACAGATTTGTAAAATTTATTTATAATTATTAAAGATAATTTTGATTTGAAGTAGAAGTAATAATAAGTTATATCATTGTTAATTTTTTTCAAGTTATTTATTTTTAGTTATTAATGATCTTAATTGGTCATTCAAATATGTATCTACTGATTGAGAGCATGAAGAAGGTAATTTTTAGTTATTATTATTGATATTTTATTATTATGTAGCAATGAAAGATTTTACTTTCGATTTTTCTGATCATTATAGCTGATTTTATGAATTTTTACTTTCATTACTTATTTAAATTTATTAATTATATTCATAATATAAACGAACTCATTTTTATGACTTTTATATATTTAATAATTATTAATTTGTGAAAAACTAGTTAAATATTCAATTAATTTTATTTATTTAATTAAATAAACAAACACAAGTTTAAAATTATATTTGATTAATTTCAAACTTTGGCATCATTAATATGTGAGGACCTAAACCTCATATAAGAATACAAAGAAGAAGAGAAATTAAAATTACATAAATGTCACTTGTTAAATACATATTTCATTTGTGTGAAATATTATCTAATATTAAAACATTATTAAACAAAATATAAGAAACATTTGAGAGTGCTACGTGGAGGTTGGAATAAATTTGAGAATTTAGGTTATCTTCCTTTAGTGGGCCTGGAATGGAATGGGCCTTTACACACGGGGCCCAAAACCCTAAGTATAAATTATTAATCAACATTAAAATCCTTATAGAAGATGGGTAGATAGATATGAACAAAGTTGGTCAATGCAATGGAAGGTGGAAGAATAATTAGGTCAAAAATTGCAGCTGAATGTGATAGAAATTTTACACATTATGTATTCCAAATTCCTAAAGCTTGATATTGATGGATTGGAATGAAAATGATGGCATTTTTAATTCAAAAGATCTACCATTAGACCCTCTTTTGCAAAAGAAAAGAGAAAAAGTGTTTTGGTGCTTTTTGAAATTTTAATCCCATTTTTAATTTAATAATCATAATTTTCTCAAGCTTTTAAAAGTCCATATAAAGTTCAGCTTTTAATCATTTCTCAGTGACCATAACATCTTCTGTTTTCTTCCCTTCAATCATTGAACCTCGTTGCCCTTATTTAGATAAGTAATGTCAGTGTTCTTTTTAGGATAAGTAAATAGTGCATGCATGAATAAAACATGAGTTTAATTGTAACTTAGGAATAGTGTAAAATAATTTTACAGTAGCAATTCATTTTAAACTATCGTGGATAATGATTATTAAAAATATACAAATTTCACTGTTAGAGCCCATATTGTTTTCTCCATATAAAGTCAAGATGTTGTTGGTATATGAATAGTATTGAATTTGAATTTTTTTTTTTTTTAAATAAAGTATGATGACATTTAAGTCTTGTGGCTGAAAAAAAAATATATAAAGAGGATATATGGGGTAATAGGCATTCTCTTAAGTAGGTGATTTAGGTTAATACTTTTAATTTATTAAAATGTTGTTAGTTATAGCAACATGATGGATAAAAACATAAATAATAATTTATTGATTTTTTAATTTTAAATAAAATTAAATATTATAATTTAAAATTATATTTTTTATATTATTTTTAACAATAAATATATAATAATATTATAATTATATCATAAATATTTTTAAATTATTAGTTAAACTGAATAACTTAGCATATTTATATAATACTATTAATTCATCCAACAAAAGTACTAGTTAATAACTAAAAACATATAAAACATTATAATATATTTAAAAACTAATGTTAAATTTAAAAACTTTATTAAAAAAAGTATGAGAATTCAATTTATTTTAAATTATTTTAATTTAGTTTTCATAACGTTTTTATCGTAACAATAAAATTTAATAAAAATTTTATTAAATAAAAGATAAATTAAAACAAAATTTCTAATAAAAAATAAGACGGTTAAGTGATCTAACTTAATAAGATCTCTCTCTGCACACTTTTCTATTAAAAAAGTTAAAATATCAAATAATTAAAGTTATTTACAATTAATTTATAAATATCATAAATTAATTTTATAATTTATCGGTCACGATTTATTTGTAATATTCACACTAATATTTAACACATTAATATTTAAAAATATCTAAATTTATTTTTTATTAAAAAAATAACAAGTCAACACAATCATTAGTGAAAATAAAGAAAAAAAAATCAAATAAATAAACTTAATAAATTGAAAAAATAAATAAAATGGTTTTTATTAACAAAATATCTCCTTAATAATTCAGTTGTCTCACATGCTCTTGGTTGAAAATGTTACATAGTAACAAAGTACAATTTTGACTGGAAAATTATGCACCTTAATTTTATTTTATTTTTCTGCCTAGTTAATTTCTTACCAGATCAAAATGCAAGTTATCTCCATTACTTTTTTTTTTCTCACCACATTTTCAACGTGTTTTGTGGCTAGGAATCTCCTTTTTTTTTTTTTTAACGCGCTTTAATTCTGCACCTTTTTCAACCTATTTTAACTGTTCTAGAATTGCAGTACAGCCAAACACATGAAAATATTAATTAATGTGAATAATTATGTTTTAAAACTGTATTAGTTATCCTCTCTAATTTAAGTATATATTATTTAAGGAAGAGATGCATAAAATAATAATTATTTTTTATGAATTTATTTATTTTTTATCAATATTTTTATTTCTCTTCATTCAGAATTACTTATAATAATATTATCTTTTCTATTTACAATAAATATAATTAAAAAATGAAGATGTAATTAACAAAAAATAATTAATATAATATTAAATTTTATAAATAAGATATTTAAAATATTTTTTAAAATTAACAATTATTTAGAAACAATGAAAATATTACAAAAATGACCAATAATTAGTTGATACTTGAATTATTATTAACAACTAAATAACATATAAAATAACATTAAAAATATAGTATCATAATTGACTACTACTAAAATTAAACATGATATATTTTATAGACATATAAAAATATAATCTATTATAATATTTAGATTTAAAATTCAAAAATACATAATAATACTTTTTTTTATATAAATAAACATGTCTTAAAAAACAAAATATTTTATATTTTTATTTTTAAGAATTTTTAAATAAAAAAATTATTAACCTTCTTTTAAGTAATTTTTTTATCTTATAACCATGGACAATACAATTTTAAAAAACATAATAATAAATATGTTTTAAAAAAAATTATAGATACATTCCATATAACTTCCCATAAGTGTTAAAAAATTAGAAAAAAAAAATCTTTTTGTTTTAGTGTTTATTATTGTCAATATATTAAGTTTTTCCATTGGTCTTTCTCCTATTATTTCTATCCGTCCTCGTGATTGTTATCAAATACTAACTTTTAGGTTAATTTGTATGATCCTCAGATAAATATTCGGGGATAAGAGATATTCGATACTTATCTTTTATTATATTGATTATTCGGAAAGGTGAACATTATATACACTACACAACCCCCAACCTTAAGTGTCAACATTAAGACTTTAGCTTAAGCAACTATTCTTGTCATCTTGTCAATCACCTAGGCTTTAAACGAGGTTAACTTGATATTTAGTTCAAATCTTATATTGATATTTAGGTAAAACTGTAATGGATCGTCCCCCTTTGGTTTAGACATGATCGAGGGATTGGATAAGAATTCCTTTAATTCAGAAAATATTTGTTCACATTCATATGTCCAAATAAATTATTTATTTTTCCTTAAGCATTGGAAGTAGAGAAAACCTCGGTTATCCACTTTGGACAAGAAATGAGATAAAGAAGTCATCTTGCTAAAACGTTATTGTATCTCTTTTAAGTTAAATGAGCTTCTCTTGTTGATAATGTCCAAGCACTTTTCAAGGTTCACTTCGATCCCCTGTGAGTCAACATAAAACCTAAGAACTTGTTTGACTGGATACCGAATACACATTTATCTGGGTTGAGCTTTACGTTGTATTGATGGAAAGTGACCCTCGCATTTTTTATGTTGAATGACATAACCCTATAACAAAAGTTATTCGTTTCAACCATGAACGTCGCTTTGCCCTTGGCTTGAGGATGCATGAATATCTTATTGTAGCTAGAGTAGGCATCCATGAAACTCAACAATTGACAACCAGATGCCCCATCCACAAGGTTGTTTATGTTAAGGAGAGGATATAAGTCTTTTAAGCACGCTTTATTGAGTTATGTGAAGTCTGTGCACATTTATCATTTTCTTGAGTTCTTTTTAATCATGACAACATAAGATAGTCACGTTGAGTATTGTATTTCTCAAATGTGACTCACAATAAGTAGCTTTTGAGTTTCATCCTTGATTGCCTATCACTTCTCGATCCTGAACTTCCTTCGTTGTTGCACTGCTGGTTTTGCATTTGAATCAATGATCAACTTGTGACATACAAAATCTAGATTAATGCTGGGAATATCTCACGCTGACCCTGTAAACACATGAGCATTCGCTCGAAGCGGACTAATAAGTTCTCATTCTAATTTGAGGTTAAGGTTGTTATCGATCCTCAATTTCTTATTGTTAATAAAGGATAACTCCTTTAATTCACCAACCAGCTTGGGTCAATGATCATTTGTCCCCAATTGAGATTTATGGTTCGGGTAGCGCGTCCCCCTCAGTTTTGTGGGTGAGAATGTGTACTTATTGTGCAAACTATTCTCGTAGAACCGTTAAATCATATGCTGGTTGACGCATAGTGTTCTGATCGATTCGTTGTCAACTGGATACTTGATCTTCAAGTGTATTGTTGAAACGACGACTCCTAGACAATTTAAAGATTGTCGACCCAAGAGGATATTATACAACTATGGTGCTTTCACGACCAAATATTGCACTATAATGATCATTGTTGTATCATTGGTCTCGAATATTATTCGTAACTCTATGTAACTATGAACCTCCACCTGAACTCCAACAAATCAACTAGTACTCTCTCGAAGGGTCTTAAGACATCCATTGAAACCCCTAAATCGAAAAACATGTTCTAATACATGATATATACTGAACTGCTTTGATCGACGAGGATATGATGGAAGTTTCTAGTCATCATGGTTATGGTAATAATGACGAGGTCATCTTGGTAGGAGATAATACCCTCTAAGTCATCGTCCGAAAAAGTTAAACTATAACGAATGGTTGACTCGAATGAGATTATCTAAGAAAACTACATTACCCATGCCAATGCTTTTGAATATCGCTTTCTAGTAAATTTCATAATTTCTCCTCTAGTTAACCCTCCAACTATTATGTTTAAATAATCTAAAATTGGTGTCTCGTGTTTAGCTTTCGCTCATGATATGTCTCCTCTTAGATGTTTATCTCTTTTCTGATTGTCTCTACGTCATAGACATCATTGTTGGATTAACTCTTCAATCTACTAAATGAGAGTATAACATTTTTCTATATCCGTCCCAAGTTCGGTGAAAATCATATCATAAATCTCAATTTAAGCCTAACTATCGTTCAACTCTTCAAAAATATGTTTGTCATATTAAAAGTAATTTGTAAAATTTATATATTCTTAGGTGAACAACGAATATTGTCATCACATCAATTATAGGGATCGTGATACTTCTGAATATTGTCTTATCTTGATATCTATTACTTCTCTTCATCTATCTTTTAGGGTGAGATTTCTGACGGGAGCTCGGTCTCTTTTCCTCGACACTTTTTTGACTCATAACCTCCTTAATTTCTATGTGTGAAACGACTCAAGACCTTACCTCGAACATGTTCATCGATGATCTCTAGATCAATGATTCCGAAAGTACCCAAATGTAACTCTCCACAAAAACATCAATGAACATAATTTCATCAAATTACACTGTTCTCAAAGTTATCTCACAAAATTTATCTCACAAAAATGTCGCAGATAATCATTTAACGACTCGACACATTATAATCATGTAACGACTCGACAGTTTATTGTTTAATGTCGAACATCTTCGACAAATCATCGAACGATGTTGTGACCGCGTTCGATAAATCGTTGAACTAGCATAGAGATACGATCTGCCCACAAATCTCTGCCCAAAAATCTTTAGATGGATGGTTGGATCGCCTGTGCCATTAAAAATTTACATATATAGGACCAAATAATGGGAAGGAATGAGCTCACTCATGGCTACCAAAAATGGTTGGAACTCTCCAACTGTTGGTGGTAGGTTTAGGGTCTCTCCTCTGCCTGACAATAGTCGTTCAAGACTTTGTTGTCGATCTTGTTCATTCTGACCTGCTGCTCTCAGCCAAGTCTCTTCATGTTGCTTCTGTAGTTGTTGATGGGATCAAGAGGTGATCGTCCCTACGGGTTGAGAGTATGCTCGTGTGTTGGAAAGTGAATCTTTTCCTATCTGTTATCAGCTCTCGGATTAATAGACGTCTAATATACTTGAGTTCACATTATTCACTATTTACCCTCTGTTATATCGTTTATTCGTGAACGCTTCTGGACATATTGTTCAATTGTTCAAACAGAGACAGTCTCATATTGATTGTCCCAAATCTATTTGTAAGATCATTATGATAAATATTTATAAAATGAAGTTGAAAATTAAAGAGGAGAAAATTACTAATGCAAGCCCAAATTTACAACTTGGGATTAAATAATATATTCACACGAGTAAGAATCTTGAGTTTTCACCGGGAGGTAGAATAATTTATACGGCTAAATGAAATCTTCAACACTAACATCAAAGGCAAATCTACATCAATTAATTAAAAAGAAAAAGAAAAGAAAGAAGACTTGGAAGTATCATTTTCCTGAGAACCTTCTGGGAATAGGTCCCAAACGGTTAAGCGATGCATCACGTGCGTCTCCGCGTGCCAGGTCTCAGATTTCCTACACCATTACCTATCTAATCTAAAATGTTCCTTCGGTTAACCATGGTCGCGTGTCAGTTACACACCTTCTGATTTGCCATGTGACACTGACTCAACCACGGTGTTTCTTGATTCTCCCGGTGGTTCTGGCAATCCAACGGCTCAGGTTTTACATCCGCAGGACCAGGGTGATGCAGACGCAACCGTGTATCATCCTCTTCTATACCTCCTCTACAATCCCCACCGCTTCCTCCACCCTCCCTCGCGCGCTTAGCTCCAATCGCCACGCCAAACAATTTTGGATTCATCTCCGCCGTGCACTCGCCGGAGCTCCGTTTCGAGGGCAATAAATTGAGCGGCTTCACCGTCCTCATGTCGGACTCCCGACTTCCCTGCACGCCACCGGCACCGCCGTCCGTTTGATAACTTCTGATCCCGTTAACATTTCCGTTCGCGTTGTCGCTACCGCTGCCTCTGCCGTTGGCGTTTGCGTAATTTGACATGAGAGTATAGATATTATTGCAGAGCGATCTCATCTCCGCGAGATCTTTCGTTAACTGAATGTTCTCTTTCCTCAGCCTCTCGTTCTCGTCGAGGAGCTCCGCCGGCACGAGCGACGGCGACGAGTTCGACGATAACACCTGTTCCTCGCCGGAGCTCGACGGTGATATGATCGGAACCGCAGTCAACGGCATCGGCGACGGCACAGCTACTGTCGCCGGCGCTGTCGGAGACTGCGCTGGCGACGAGATCTTCCGCCGTTGAATTTCGCACAGAAGCTGCTTTTTGCCTCGGCGGAAATACTCGTTCGAGAATTCCCACCGATCAGGAACAACCTTCCTGAATCCCTGTAAATCAAGCAAAAAGAAAATCAGAAAACAAATTCCAAGAGCGTCAAAACTGAAGCAATATGAGGACGTCTACAAAAAGAAATGGGAAAATACAACTCGGTAAGCGAGTAATTGAGATGCGAGAGTCGAAATGAATTACGTAAGTGTTGAGTTGGCGAACGAAGCTGGAGAAATTGTTGTGTTTAAAATATTTAGGAAGCAAGTCTCTGGCGAAGACGGTAGGGTTCCAAACAATGAACGTTGATCCGTCGTCGTTCCAGGAGATAACATCGTCGATGGATTGATCGTCGACGAGTTGAAAGGTTTTGGTGAGAAACGGCGTGGGAATGGATCTCCCCTGAGACTCTGAGGCGGTGGTGGTGGAGTCGGCGTTGTGTTCCACCGGAGGCGGCGGAGCCATGGTGGAGGAGGAGGCGCAGATGAATGGTGTTGTGGCGCGCGTGATAGATGGGAAATTGGTATTTTGGTGGTTCTAGAAGGTTCCGTTGGAAATAAAAGGATGCAGAGAGAGAATGAATAGAGAGGAAGGGACGAGAAGGTACTGCGTTACATCTTATGTCGAGAAAGTTCCGTGTGAATGAGGGATTTGTTTTCTTTTCTTTAATAATAACCGCATTTGTTTGCATGTTGATGGGTGTGGAATTCTCCCACCATGACCTAAAGATAGCTTCCACGCCTCTTCTTAATTCAAGAAACTTCTATACCTTTTTTCTAAATCAAATATCATTTGTGATTCTTTTTATCTTTATCTTCATATTTTTATTTTTGTAAATTAATCAAGTTGTTAGCTTTATTAATTTTTAAATTAGTAAGGGAACAACAAATGAAGCAAGATTTGTTTCCAAAACTGTCATTAGAAAGATATTTAACAACTTGTGTTTGCTGTTATTATTGACACTAGAGACCAGGGTATGGATAAATTTGAGTATGAGTAAAATATTCTTCAAGACTCAAGAAAATTCATGATGTTCTTGAACAAACTTTTACATAAATCCATTCAAGAACTAATAATCTAACATATTTTAAATTTTACCTTTTTGAAATCCTCGTGATTTCATCACCAACATTACTATCTTTTGACTCCATGATATACCAAAATTCTTCCTTCTTCACCAGTGCTTGTTTTGAGATCTAAAACTCTCATTTTTTTGCATTGTCTTGTTGTTTATGGTGTGAAAAAATAATGATGGAATTTATCTATCATACTAATGTTGTTTCAGTAACATTATCTATTATATTATTGTTGTTTCAGCTTCAATACAAACCAATTAGAACTCTTGATTTTTCAATATTTCTCCCTTTAAGGTATAGATATGTGATTTTCTAAATTTAGTTTTAATTATTTGCTTGAAAAATTGGATAAAATATATGTTAATTTTAAAATATTACAAGTTTTTATTAAATAAATAAAAAAATTATCAATTAAAAACTACAAAAATTACTCTATTTATTTTTTTAGCCTTATTTTATCTAGATTTTAAAAATAATAGGAATTTGAGGAAAACTAATGAATTTGTTTTTATTAAAACTGTTTTTATTATTTATTTTAAAAAAAAAAGCAAAACTTGATAAAATGTTTTTTTTTTCAGTTGTTATTAATTGTTATGAATGTTTTCACCAATAAACACTCATTTTTATCATTATAAAATTATTAAAATTATTTTCCAATTTTCAGACTTAACTTTTCATATCATTCTCTTCATGTAAAATAATTTTCAAATTACATAAGTTTTTTTTTCAATTTATTTTCAAAAATAGTATTTTAAAATTAATATCCTGAAATCTAAAAATACAAAACTGAATAACACAAGTCCAACTCACTTCCACTGTTTGAAGGTGTTTGAAAATCAAATCAATCTTTTCATTATAAAAATATTCAATATTGAAAATCAAATATCAATATTTTCTGCTTTAAAACTATACAATAATTTTGTATTAAGAAAATTAGTAGGGGCAAATTTTTAAGTTACATTTTTTTTTCTAGTACAAAACGGTTTTTTAAAAACAAACTTTCATTTTACCCTATTTCCTCTACCCACTTCAAACAAGTGGAGAAAAATCCCTCTAATTTTTATTTTCATCAATAAAAATTTAAAGGCTAAAACAGTAGAACCTTTATTGGAAAAGTATAGTTCATAATAACAAAAATAATTAAGAGACCGATGTAATCAATTTGTGAAAAGGTTAAGAAAATAAATTTAAGTAATTTTATTATTTAAAATAAATAAAAAAATATTAAAAAAATATAATAATAAATAAATTTGATAAATTAATAAATAAATTATAATACATAAATTTTTTGGACTTGTTTTGAAATTTATTAGATAAAATTCTACTCAATCATAAAAAAAAAGTACAAATAATATAATATTTAAATTAATATATAATCAAAGAAGCGTATTAGATTTGGCCACCTTATCAAATTTATTTATTATATAATTTTTTCAAGATGAAAGAATATATTAAATTTTTTTAATATATATTAAAATAATATTTAATAGATTTTATATTAATTAAATATACTATCAAATTATAATATATAATTAATATTAATTTTATAAACTACTTTTAAGATATTTATCTTAACAATATTTGTTAATAAGAACATTTATCATATTAAGAGTAAATTATAAATAATTTATTTTAATATGATAAAATATGTTTATAATATATAAATTTGGACAAATATCACTATATAAATTAGTGTTGTAAAATTAAATTGAATTTATATTTATTTTCAAATCATTTCTTAAGATGTAAACTACTATTTTCAAATTGGACTAGTTATTGAATAACTTAACATATTCCAACACCAAGTAAACATTCTATCAGAAACAAACACAAAGAGAAAATTTATATAGATTTGGACAAGTAGTTGAATATGATGCAAAGGGACCAAGTACGCATCATGTGTGGACATGCAATGCAACTAAGCATCATCTGTTACTTAGTCCCGTGTGAGAGTTCTGAAACGGATAGAGTCGTACGTTGTAAATTGTAAGGCTACCAAACAAGAGAGATAAAACCCTAACCGACAAAACATAATTTGGGATGCATACACCATCTTTTAGTACGAGGACAAAAGTTTTCAGTAAAATTTAAGTAATTAATTAATTCTGTAGACCAAGATAATTTTGTATTATAAATTGAATTTAACTGTTTTTTTTTAATAATGTCATCTTATTATAAATAGTTAGTTGACGGAAAAATTGATTTCAATAATATATTATCGTAATGAATATATATTATTGTAATGGACACTCTAAAAACAATATAGTTATATAATAAAAAAAATTTAAAGTTATTTCTAAATGATGATGACAATATAAAATTATTTGCATTGTGATAATGCACTAAAATTAAATTCACATGTTAGTATGAATCAGTGTGATATACCCAATTGGAGTGCACGTTGTTGCGTAGATTCCACTCGTGAGTTGAAGCTCGCACCGGTACTTTTCCAAGAACGAGAAGAGAACTTGGTGGCTCTTGTTCATGGAAGAAAATTTTATTATTGAGATGTTTCGATATATTTATAAATTATATATATTAACTTATTAAAATATATTTTAATGATAAAATTATAATAAAATAAATAATATTTTAATAATATTATTATAAATATGAAATTAAATTTTTTATTTTAAAATAGATAATATCTTAAATATTATAGAATAATTTTTAACGATGTTATCATGAATATAATATTAAAATTTTCTTATTTTTAAATAATATAAAATTTATAAATATATTAAAAAATAATTAGATTTAGATTTTAATAATTATGTGTTTAGGTTTCACAAATTTGTATGACAATAATAATTTTAATCTCACTTAATTTATTAAATATGATATTTTAATATTAAAAATGTAATGATGGTGATGATATTTTGAAGGAAAGAAAAAAAATCTAAATAGATGAAAGTGAGAATGAAATTTTAAATTATCTAATTTTAAGATAATGTAAGGCTTTTCTAATATTAGGAATTAGGAGTACCTTTATTCTAACTTCAACTTTCTGATTTAAAATTTATTGACATAGTTAGGTTTTAACATAAGTTATATTCTTGACTATATACAATACCCATTAATTCTGTCATAATTTCATATTGAAAAAATTGTTCTAATAGATTAAAGGTATGTTTGGGGTTTCTTTTTTCATAAAAATTATTAGGAATGAAAAATATAAAAAGCATCAATGTTAATGTTTTTTACAAGGTAAAATACAAATGAAAAGAAATTATATGAGAAAAAACAGTTTACTTATACATAAAATTAAAGATAAATTAATTTTATTTTCCTCTCAACAGACCTTACAAACTATCTTAAACCACTAATGTCAACCCGTGTAAGTGTAATGGAACGTTGACTTGTGTTGAAATTGTTAATACATATTTAAAATAAAATTCACTTTTGTAATTTATATTTTTCTCTTAATAACAAGTATATATAGATGAGTATTATTATACGTTGGACTAAGACTCACATTATCCAAAGACTTTGAGTAATTAAGACATATTAAACTCCACAAAACTCTGTAGTTGCATCAATTCATCATCACAAGTTGACCATACTAATAGTATCATCATCTCCATTATTAAAAATCTTCATAACTATAGCTTTGTAGTAGATATTAATTTAATTATGGTGTAAATTTCAACGGTAAAAATAAATATTTTTAATTACTTAACCAATTGAAGTAGCTATTTTAAACCGATCAAATCAAACTTAAATATCATTCATTAGTAGATTATCAATTATGTTCGTTCCTTCAAATCAATTTGATGGATCATCTAACAAAAAATATTACTTAAATTCATTTCAATTTTAGATTAATAGTTATATATATATATATATATATATATATATATATATATATATAGATATACATATATATTAACAAAAAAAATATTATTATTATTTTATAAAACATTAATTCAATCTAAAATGGATTTAAGTCAAAAGCTAAATGGATGAAAACTAAAATAATCAAATTCAATATAAACCCTTATTTTTATAATCCAATGCCTATTTTTTTTTATAGTCTATTTCTATCAAGCACTTTCATATCTCTTTTCCTTTTATTTGTTTAACTATTCAATCGGTTACTAAGGCCATAAAAAAAGTCAACTTTAAATAAAAATATATTTCTAGTGTTTTAAAATTACGGGAAATAAAAAGTCAATTTTAAATTTAGGAAACCATAAATAAAGTTAACTAAAATTTAAGAAATTAAAAAAACACATTTAAACCTTTTTCCAATTATGTAAATATGATTAGATTTTGAAGGCATGATATTTGAAAGGAATAATTAACAAGATATTTCTGAAAAAATAGCTAAAATGAATCTTGTAATTTAGCTCTTAACATGTATGCATGCTGCATGCTGCAGCAAATGAAGACAAAAGATATAAAAAGATGCATGCATGCAGAGACAGTCTCTCTGCATCAGACCAAATTTGCAACTTCAAAAATTGTGTTGTTCCAGAAACTGCGGTATCTTTCTTCTTCTTCCCTACCAGCCAAACGCTTCTGATCCTTTTTAATCCAAGATTTGTTCTTTGCTCTGGTCCCCTACTTTAATTCCAAAGCTTCTGCATATCCACACCTTTTATTATCTGCATAAGCCAAGGATGGATAATTATCCACCAAAGGAAAGTGACTTCTGTTGTTCTTGTCGCCATTTTTGCTCACATATGTATGGTGAGATGTCACCTCTTGAAATAACAAATTAACATGCGCCAATGTGGAAAAAAAAAAAAGTAAAATGTAAAATGATGCTGATTTTTGTGGATACATGTCTGTGAATGTTTGAATTTGATCACAAGTTTCATAAACTAATATACTTTCAATACTTTCAAGTTAGTTTTTAATTTTTACAATTTGTAATAAGAGAAAAATAGGTTGTTTGTTGGGTAAACAAAATTCTTCATCCAACATTCTTTTTTAATTAAATATTATTTTATATAACATAAAAAAGTTATCAAATTTCTGATTTTATATGTTATTTTATTGTTTTATTCACTAAAAAAACTTATTATTTATGGCAAAAATTCGTAGATAATGTTATTTTACTTACGGATTTTTTTCATAAGAAATTCGTAGATTTGAACAAAATACTTTTTTTCACTACAACCCCTATTTACTTTTTATTATTACCTATAACCCCCTCTTTTTTATATTATATGGCCAAAATCCGTAGGTAATGTCATTTTACCTACTGATTATTATAATCCGTATGTAATGCACTTTCTTGAATAAAATATTTTTTTTCATTATAACCCTTTATTTACTTTTTATTATTATATAGAATTCTTTCCCCTTTATATTATTATTTATTACACTTTTAAAATTTTGAATTATTATCAGATTGAGATAATTATCACTAACAGTAATTGAACCCATTATCTTAGAGTTGGAAGCTGATCCTCCAACCACTAAGTTATTAGGATATTCTAATAATAACATACAAATAAATTATATTTATATTTATCCAGTGTAAATATATAAATATATAATATATTTATATATTTTTACATTTATTTGTAAGTTATTATCAAAAAATCTTAGTAGTTTAGTGGTTGGAGTATTAGTTTTCAACTTTAAGTTATTTGTAAGTTATTATCGAATGTTAGCCACATTTTTTTAATTTGATATAATTTATCTACGAAATTATCCATGGATGACATTACCTACGAATAATATCCGTAGATAATGAATAATTTACATACGGATAGAATTCAGTAGATAATTACCTATGGAATTACCCACGGATGACATCACTTACTGGATAATATCCGTAGATAATGGATAATTTACATACAGATAAAATTTCGTAGGTACCTATGAAATTACCATGGATGACATTACTTATGGATAATATTCGTAGGTAATATATAATTTATATACGGATAGAATTTCGTAAGTAATATCCGTAAGTAATGGATAATTTACCTACAAATTTTTATCCGTAAATAATATCTCGTAATATACAATTTACCTACGAATTTTTATCTCGTATATGTATGTAATATTTTGTAGATAATAGACTTTTTTGTAGTGATTAATTATGAAAATAATATATTAATATAATTTATTAAGATACTATTTATTATTTTATTCTTCTTAATAAATATTCCCAACAATTGAAGGTGCTTAGCATGTTTGGGAATCAGCAACAAAAATAAAATAAATTTTGGTGGAATATTGCAAATGAATTTGCCACGTATACCAATATTTATGAAATACAAACAATTACTACTTTTTTCCATTGTGCCTAAAGTTTAGTGAGGACAAGTCTAGTTAATGATCAATAGTTTTTATTCTATAAACAATAATTTTTATTTTTATACTCAACTCATTTAAATTTGTTTAAAATTCATAAAAATATTTTTAAAATTGTTAATATGTTTGGAATGAAAATCCGTTTTATCATACAAAAGATTATGGGTGGGCCAGCACATGTGGTTTGTTAAAGCTTTTATTGGGCTTTAAAAACGACAGGGCCTTTCTCTTTGAAGATTATATCACAAGCAATAAAGTAATATATATATATATATATATATATATATATATATATATATATATATATATATATATATATATATATATATAGAGAGAGAGAGAGAGAGAGAGAGAGAGAGAGAGGGGGGGGGGGAGGGGATGAACAAAAGGATTGCCATTAGTTTATTGAGTCTATCTTTATTAAGATTACAAGTAGATAATATTTATATAAATCACTTATAATATGTTATAAAATGAATTAATTATTTTTATGATTGGACAATTTTTTTTATAATTACACTTATAATCATTTTTTTATATATATATATATATATATATATATATATATTATTTCAACATTTTTAGTCTTTAATTATTCAAATGATAGATATCAAAATAGTTAAAAAATATACTTATAGAAACCATAAGCTATTAAAATGATATTTGTAAGATTAAAATGAATATTTTTAAATATATGAACCGAATGGTTGAAGTTGTATAGCTTTAAAAATTAAATTAAAACTATTTTAAAATAAAACGAATTTATTTTAAAATTAAAATTTACTTATATATAAGTTAAAAAAAATATAAAACCAAATCTTATAAGTTAATTTATGAATAAATTAATTTTACTTTTTTTCTCTTTTGTGAAAGTAATGTATGAAAAGTTTTTTTAAAACGGACCTTTAAAGAAATTATCATTTTTTTGACATTCAAAAAAGATGAATTCTAGAACTTAAAATTTCAAGTTTATACTTTTCAACTCCAACTTTTGTCACTGATTTTTATTTTCATTTTTTTTTTAACTTGAAACTCCAAACGTATATAAAGTGTATTTTAGAAATAAATAAAAAATGTTTATAGGATATTACATTAATCAAAATGCTATGAAGGCTAAAACTTTCTGAACATATTGGATATCAATTTCTCACTATCAACCTCAAGAAGGTGAAGGATAAACATCAATAAAAGTTAACTTTAAGTTATTTTCTTCTTCCTTTCTCTAGCGTCTTCTCTTATTTCCACAAAACCTAAGGAAGAGATTAAAATAAAATAAAAATCTAATAAAGTAAATATACATTTTCTTCCATATTCATTGTTCAATCATGAAGCTAACTCTATGCCTAGTTTTTCGGTCGAAGCCAATTATGGGAAAATGTAGAAGTAAACTTTGTATAGTTGTGATAATTTCTAATACATGTGTTTGGTTTCCTTGGATTGATATTCACCATTTTTTCAATCTGTCAATTATGTGTTTGATATGTTATTTTGTAATTTTTTAAATAGAATTCCATTTCCTAACTAATTCAATAAGATTGGATATAATGATTGTCTTCGATAAATATGATAAAATGGTGGGGGAAGGAGACATGGTGAAATTAGGGTTTGGTGTGGAAGAGAGGTTAGGGATGGTTAGAGGTACTTATCATTGTGAGATTTGGTTTTGTTAGCATAGAAGGCGAAAATGATGTATCAAAATTAAAGCCATGTATAAAGTATAAAATAAATAAACAACATTTTAAGAATAATTTCTTAAATAAAAACTTAAGAAGGAAATAAGAGGTTCTAAGAGTTTATTTGCCTTTTTGTTTCTTGAATTTTCAAAATTCTTCTGTTGTGATCAATATTCTAATTGAGATGTTTGTTTATTAATGGAAAATAAATCAATGAATGTTCAACTTTTGTTTTTAATTACCTAAAATAACATATTATATAAGTAGTTCAATTAAAGTTTGACCCTCTAGTATGCAATGATTTTAATTTTTACAGTAACTCGATTTTGTTCTATAAATTTAAAAAATAAATAATGTAATATACGCATATAATTTTGATAAGTTGGATTTGGAGTTTTGTGATTTATTTTTATTTTTTTAATATATTTAATATCTTAATGTACATGTAAATAATATATATATATATATATATATATATATATATATAATAAAATATTTATTAAGAGAATAACATTAATTATTTTAATGAATAATATATTTATTATTTTAAATTTATTTATGCGACACAACCAACAGATATTTTCAGACAAAACAATAAATAAAGAACACCATCATTCATGTCTACCAAATTCTCATGCTCACTGTTTCATGGGTGAACACTGTGTTCCTCTATTGTTTGCACACACCCCAACCTGTTATAAATATAATCTTTCTCTTATTTTAACCACCAAAAGTTAACAATGAATAGTATGTGATTTATATTTACTAAAATATCACACACTTTTTACTATCATGGTACTTAAAATTTAAAATATTATTTTCTTTCTAACTTTAATATTTGTTATGAACAACCCTATATATTGAATCTGCATGTACAAAACAGAAGTTAGATAAATACACAATAACTCAACTAAACATTCATTTACTCTCTTTTATTTCAAAAATATAATTTTAATAAATTCAAATACATCTCTCAATTATATTAAACAAATTCTATTATTACATTACAAACTAAACAAAAACCTGCATCTTTCACTTTTAGATAACCAGCACTACTTCCAAACATACTCTCATACATATAAGGTAGGAAACTCCTCTCATGTCCCTATCCTCAAATCTAATCATAATCCATACATACATACATACATACATACATATATATATATATATATATATATATATATATATATATTAAATATCAAATAATAACTAAATAAAAATTCTTATTTTAAACCATTTTTCACTCTAACTAATAACAAATAATCATATAATAGTTTTGATAAACTTTACAATAATTATCTTAAAAATTCTCAGTCAGCTGAAAATGACACAAAGGGTACTGCTAAAGATATTTGTTGTGGCAATTTTTCTTTGGGGCCCATAAACCATAAATATCAGATATGGATAATCATGTCTTAAAATTAAAACTAAACACAAAGTACATCTAACATGATGTTTATTATTATATCTTTTTTCGTTGTTAAATTAATTAAAAAACAAAAGAAAATTACCATCCGAACAATAAATATATATATATATATATATATATATATATATATATAATAAAAAAATTAATTAGTTTCAAACCTTTTAGTTATGATGTATACAGGTATGAAAAATATCATAGAAGTAAACTTTATTTATTCATCTATTATTCTCCCCACAGCACTGCCAAATAATGTTGATATGATATTCCTATAACTTTCATAAAATATCTCTTACCCATAACATGCACCTCCAAACCTTGTTTTCTTTTGCCATCATTAGAAGAAAAAAAAAAAAAAACTTTAGCACAACTCATGTAAGATGGCATGTGCTGTTTCCTTGAGTAATAATATATAAAATACATATGCACAATTTCTTAATATCAAATTTTAGTTGGAAGCTAAATTTTTTTATCATACGAAATAATATTCATAAGTTTCTTCATAAATAAAACTTACCTGAGAAACTGAGAAAGGAAAGACCCAAAGACAAATATTGGAAAAGAAGAATAATAAAATACAAATCAATTCTAAATAAAAATGGGGTCGGTAGAAAAGGATAATTTTCTTAATTTTGTGCTCTTTTATCATAGTTCTCACCCAGGCATGGTGCATCTTCTCTTTCATCACTGTTGCACGCTGCACCTTCTTTTTTTGTTTTCTACACATGGGACCACCTGCTTGAGACACGTGGAAATCACGCATTAGTCTTTTTCTTCGACTATATATCTCTTCAAGAAAATATCCTTCTCTTAATAATTCGACCCATGCATGCGCAAACCAAGATAGAGAGAAACATGTGAACCCTTGTATTTTATGACCAATAAATAGACCCATCTTATTCAACTATTATCTCATTTTGGAATGTGTTTGGCTGAATAATACGGCAAATTTATTACACCTGATCCTGTGACGAATTGCAGGGCTGGGATGATCTTTTCCTCGGTCTAGATCTTGGACCTATTGAATCTATTTCAAGAAACAATAACAAATTCAAATTTTAAAGGATAGAAGAGAAAAAAAAAATGGTCAAAAAGTAAAAATCATAACACTAAAACATGACACACAAAAAGGTATTGTCTACAAATATCTAAGAGGCATATTCGAAGCTTTTGGACACCCATTTTCGTGCTGTTTGGTTTAGGACTTTACATAGTCGATCATCGATCCACCGGCACCACCGTTTTCATCACATAAAAAATAATGATGCGAAGCCAAACACTGTTTTATGATTATCAACATTAATTGGTTCGCTTCAAACAAATTCACTCAAATAACCCAAATCAACTGTTATGACAAACCCGTGATTGCTAAAATGCGCAGGGTGGTTTAACTTGAGAGGGTGACTATCACGTACCTGCCGGGGCATGGAGCTTTCTGATGCGGTGAGGATGCGGTTTCAAATCCAAAGTGGAATCGAAGGTGTCGGGAAGATAACGGTCGAGGCGCAGAGAGTGGTGCGTGGGACTGGGGTTGGAGGTTCCTTGGTTTTCCAGCATTGCACGCACAAAGGATGCTTCCATAGTGTTAAGGAAGTGCATGTGCTTTTCGTCCGTCCAGAACGATGGCGTTTTAGTCACCTGTGCGGTGGAGTCCATTGATGCCACGGTAGTCTGTTCCGAAATTCACAGGAAAAGAGGTTCGGATTTCGAGAGCGTGTAAAGAAGTTAGGTGGGTTTTGGATAGTGGGAAAACATAAATATTAAAATGGGTGAGAGTATGAAAACAGTGTACTCGCTTTGCGGTTTCAGATACCACATTTTATTTTATATTTTTAAGAAAGAAGATGGTAAGAGATAAATTGATACATAAATTTACATGTGATGTATATAATGCTTTGTTGCAATAAACAAGAATAGAATTTTAGAAATATTGTAATATTATCTGTAGTATTTATATTTTTCATATTTTATTTATTATTGGATAAAATTTATTGAATATAACAAATTAATTCTATTATTATTTATAGGTTAATGATATTTTATTTATAAGTAAAGTGAAGTTTATTAAAATTTATAAATTTCAACCATTTTAATTAATGGTAAAATAATTGTTAAAAAGAGACAGTAACATTCTCCTTAAAACATCTTTATACCAAATTGTTTATGAGAATTATGTATGAATGTAAATATGATTCTAATTAACGTGGACTTTATTTATAAATTGTATAAAATTAGAAAGAAATTGTTTAAAATAAAATGTATTTATAATTGTAGGACAACTTAAGATAATGTAGAGTTGTGTGTTAAAAAAAAATATTTCCCAGATTTTAATATTTAATCTTATTAGTATATATAAAATTGTAAATGTAAAATAAATTTAAAAATCTTTAAAAGAATAACCTAATTCTATTAAAATTATTTTATTTATTTAATTATCTTATTAATTATTTATTTATTATTATTTTATATAAATTATATTTTGAATTATTAGTTTTTATTTTTAGACTATTATTATCTTTTATATCTCTATAAGAAAAATCGACCAACTTACCTTATTACTCATTGTCAAATATACTAAATATTTGATAAAATTATCAATTTAATCTTAAACTCATATGACCTCTATTTTTAAAGGAACTTGATCTCTGAATTTGGGGCATATGTATTTTATGTAGTTTAAATCCATTAAAATCATTTTATTTATTTAATTATCTTGTTATATATTATTTTATTAATTATTTTTTATTTGTTATTATTTTACATAATATCTTATATAAATTATTATTTTTTGAATTATTAATATTTATCTTTAAGACTATTATTATTTTCTAAATCCTATATAAGAAGACTCATCTAAATAATGAATTTCATTTTATCACTCATTCTCAACTATGTTCGTCTTTTATTCAAAAGTTGATTCAAGTGTAAGAATGTTTTTTGTAAATGAACCTCTACGAATGGTTTTTTTGTAAATGAACATCTACTCTTTTCAAAAAAGTTATTTTCAAAATTCTTAAAGTTTAAATTCAAAATTTGATCTACAACCTTGTGTCATCTTCCCCATCACCTTAATAACATATTAAATTAAGAAAAATTTTAAATATAATATTAGAAGCTAGAAGCGATATGTTATTTTTATGTAAAAAACAATAAATTATTCTCAAATTTTTTAATTTAAGATGGAGTGAATTTCTTTTGCTATAAAAAAAATTAGATTTTTCGATCGGATAAAATCCGTCAGTAATTAAGAAAATTCATCGATAAATAGATATTATCGATAGATTATCGACTAGTATATATCCGTCAAAAACTAATTGTTAATTTACCGACGGATATATCCGTCGATGATTAATTGTTCATTTATCGATACATATATCCGTGAGTAAGATCAAATTTTATCACTACTTTAAATACGTCAGAAATTTTTGTTGATAATTACTCATTTTTCGACGGTTACATATTCATAGGTAAATATCCATCGATAATTAATTAATTTTTTTGAGTGTTTTGATAGGATTTTATTGGTAAAAGTTTTTGTTGACAAATTTTTGTATAGATTGACCACTTATTCTCAATCACTTTTTTTATTTATTTATAAGACCCAAATAAAATATTTTATTTATAGAAAACTACTTAAATAAATAAAAATATTAATATAAAGTTAATTCAGATAAGCTGGTTAACTCGATAAAAAAAACTCATAAAAATTTATAATTATTTTATGCTTCTTTAAAATTTTATAGTTTTTTTCTTTATGATATATTCATAATCATTTATAAACTCAACAAAACTTGATACACCTATCTCGAGAAGATTTTGAAGGATAAATAGACGAAAGTTAAAATATTATTATCTCTTTGTAATAAATAATTAAACGTGTGAAACCTTCTTCCAAGTAAAATACTGTTCTATTTTAAACTTCTCAATTTTAATTTATTAAAAATTGTGAATGACTCAGTGGTTCAATTTTTTTTTTAAATTAATATTTATTTTCTTAAATAATTATGAGAATATTAAATGATTGCTTAAAATATTCGCAACTGTTACGATATTTTTATAAGTTTTAGAAGTAAAAGTAATAATAGTTTATATATATATATATAATTTTTTTTCTAAAAAGACTTTTTAAAAATAAAATTGTAATAAATTAAAACTCTAATATCTTAAATATAAAAATACATTTAATAATATTATTATAATAGATATTAGTTCCAGATATTTTTATTTCTAAAAAAAAATCAATAATACGTTGAATAATAAAATAATTATAAAATATTTACTTTCAGATTCTTTTGTTGTAAAGTTAATAATATTTTTAGAAGAAAGAATTTTATTTTAAGAAATAAAAAACTTATTTTCAATATTAGATTAGCAATAAAATTTTATTTAAAAATCTTGTCCATAAACCCGTACATATATATTTTTTAATTTCTATATTGATTAAAATAATTAAATCAAAGTATTTTAAGAAATATAATAGAGTATTGCTTAACACATGTAATAATCTAAACTGAGCATGTTTTTAATGAGATAATATATTTTACTATTGTAAGCAGAATACAAAAGTATTGATTTTATGTGCCATAAAAATATTAATAATGAAATATTTGTAATGTTTTTGATGAAAACTTTATTAATTAAATAGTTTCTAAAACTTTATTTACATTAATAAATGCTAAGTGGTTAGCCATAGAAGCGCGCGTGGGGAACAGATACATTATCCTCGAGTGGGTAGGATTTGATATGTCTAAAAGTTAGAAAATATCTCTGACCTAATGAGAGTGAGAGGAAGATATTTTCGGATCAAAGAAGAAAAGAATAATATATATATATATATATATATATATATATATATATATATATATATATATATATATATATATATATATATATATATATTCCATCTTTTTTATTTTAATTTAATCAAAATTTAAGATAACATGATAACTACTGCTTCATTTATGAAAATTGTTTTAAATTATTTTAATTTAATAAAAAGTTAAGATAGCATGATAACTACTGCTTCATTTATGAAAAGTGTTTTAAATAATACTAAATAAAATAAAGAAGATGAAAAAATGATGTTGTAAAATATATTAATTAAAATAATTTGATGATTTCATATTTAAATGATAATAAGGAGTATATAATTTTTATTTATATATTAATAAATATCTTTTATGTATTTAGTTAAAAAAATGAAAATACCATTTTGTATTTGAACTATTTATTTTATTTTCTCATACTAACATTTAGGAGGTATATTTAATACTTTTGAAGTAGTATTCTAATTATTTTACAAATTAAAATTATTAATCTATCCTTTATTTGAACTGATTCATTTTATAATTAATACATCACCTTATGTTTATAGAGATCAAATATCATGTCACATATATTAATATATTATATTACACCTATATAATTTTATTATCATATCACACAAATATTAATACATTACATTACACATATAAATCTAGATCACATCATATATATTAAAATAATATATCACGTCCATACAAATTTACAATCACATTACATAAATTTTAACGGTTTCTAGAAATTAGATATTGAATTAAATTAAAAGATTTATACCTATCATATCATACTGGAGTGTTGAATACTATGATGCTCATATATTCTATTGTGTGACCAAAGTAAATTTTTATCACTTATTTTATTCAGATATTAATAAACTGACATCTAAGTCATAAAATCCTCATTTAATTCTCATCACTTAATAATTTTATCTATATCATTGAAAATGATAAATAGAACTAGTATATCTTATAGAATTACCAATTTAATATTCATACACCTCATATCACATGTAAAAAAAATATTTCTTGGTAGTTACTGTATTATACACACCATCACAATTTTACAAAATCACATCACATGCATCTCATTATAATTCATATCACTTCATAAGTCATAACTTATCATTCAAAATCATAGATTTTAACATACATATAAATACTAAAAAATCCAATTTACCATTCATCATACAATAATAAATATTCAAGTATAACAAGTTGTTAAAATATAAATTTTAAGTGAAATATAAACAATTTTAGCATTAAAAATCATTTTAAAACATGTTATTTAATAGCTGAAAAATATTCTATTCGCTCAATGAATTAGACACATGTTGTATTCGTTCATCTATAAGTTATGCTCGCTAGATAAACCCCTCACCTAAGAACCTTTTAGTCGCCTAGCAACCAAATCTTTCAAGTTTTTATTGGAACGAATTTTGCTCAGCGAATAAATGGACACCTAACTACCAAAGCACATGGGTTCTCACTAGAACGAGTTTCGCTCAGAAAATTGCTGGTTGCTCAATGATGATTATGCAAAAAAAAAAATAGTTATATAGAATTTTAAAATCATAAAAAAGTGGGTTTCTAACTCAATTAAATAACTTATTTTAAACCATTATAACCAAGTTACTTCAACATATTCATATCTTCTAATATAGGATGTTATAGATGATAACTCTAACTTATTTTACCTTTCAATTTCTCCTGCCAAAAGAAAACACCAAAAACTTCCAAATCTATAGGAAACAAAATCCTACTCACAAAAAAGTCCAGTTAACAAATTAAACATACATAATATTCTTAAACTAGTCAAAATTTATCTTTGCTTAACAA